TAAAAAAAAAAAAAAAAAAAATGTAACAATGAATTTGTGGCACATTATTTTATATAATGTTTNTGCAACAAGTTGATATCTTTTTTGTCACAAATTTTACGTGTATTTATATATAGAGAGAGATATTAAGAGAAAGATAAAAAAAAAAAACGTTTATATTTTATATGTTTTAATATTTCTTTTTATTAAAAACTTTTCATTAAAAAAATTATATAATGTTTTATATTTTACAATTTATTTTAAAAAAAATAAAAATTTTTTTGTAGTGAAAAAAGAAAGGATTTAGAGGAACTTTTAGATCTAAAAAAATATTATAATGAAATATGTGAAAAAATTGTAGATAAATATAAAGATGTTGTAAATCGTTTTGAGTATGATAAAGATATAGTTAGGTATATCAAAACCAATAAAATAAATGATGAAATAGAAAGCGAAGATTGGTTATATTTTTATGAATTATTAAAAGATCGTAAAATATTAGAAAGGTGCATTGATATGAATAATAATAAAGAGTTAATATTATTTAATAGCTTTCATTTAGACGAAGAAGCAAGTTTTATAAGTTGTTTAAATTATTACATTAAAGTAAATAGATATAATAATGTGAATCATAACTGGATGGGAATGAGTGAAAATCCATTTAGCGAGTATGTAAGTAATAATGAAATTTCTTTTTATTATCATAACAATTTCAAAAACAAAGATGATGATAAAAAATTTTCTTCTTATATAAATATACCCTCAAATATAGAAGAAAAGAAAAATATAGATTCTACATTAGAACATAAAAAATTCTCTCCCTTGTATTATTTATTATATATACAAGATAATGATAAATGGATATCAGGAATAAATAATTCAGGTAATATCCTTCATTTGAAAAATATTGACTATATATGGAACAAAACAGTAAGAGAAAATAATAAAATAAAACTATTTCATTTGATAACTTCAAATAGTGTAAAAATGGATAATATATATTATAAATTAAAAAAAAGAGATGAAGAATTAACAGCTGAAAATATAGATATTGATAAAATCTTATGCGTTAGTCAATTGGTATGCGCTTTAGGTATGTTAGATATTGGAGGATTTTATATTATGAAAGTGAAATTATCTTTTGATAATTTTCTCTTGTCTGTTTTTTCTATTTTATCTATTTGTTTTAAAAAAATAGAAGTGTATAGACCTTCTTGTTGCTATTTAAGGGATGTAGTATTTTTAATAGGTATCAATTTTAATGGTATTACATCTATATTTCTCTCTAGTTTAAATAATTGGGTTCAATCAGCACAGAAAGAATTAATATATTTTTCTGATACTAAAAATAAAGATGACAAAAATGAAAATGGTGAGATGACTAAAACAAAAAATTATTTAAATAGCAATATAATACCAAGAAAATGGATAAAAAATACTTTTTTCCAAGAATATAAAAATTGCATCAAGCATTTTATTGATTATCTAATTTATTACTTAAAAAAATGTATAAATGTCTCTAATATTAATTTAATTAAAAAAAATATTGAAAACACAAAAAATACCTATGTTTCAAAATTTTTTGAAGAAAACAAAATAGTAGATATTAAAAAAAAAGATAAATTACTACATAAATTAGTTAATATATATGAAGATAAGGAATTATTACATAAATATGTTCATACAGATAATGAAAATGATTTATTAAGTAAAAAAGAGTGGGGAAATTATTCCGAAAATTTAGATTCCTGCTATACAAGTGACGAAGCTATATATAGTAATAAAAAAATATCTAAAATAAAAAATATGCCATTTCATATTGAGAAAAGGGAAGCATATTTTGAAAACATTTACAGCAAAAATTTAGATTGCAATAATAATATAAAAAGATACAGTAAGAGAATTGCAAGTCTTCTAAAAAAAATAAAATACAAAAATAATAAAGAAAATATGGGAGAGAAGGAATTGTTTCAATTAGATAAAGAAATATTAAAGAAAAGAATATTTTTTATGGAGAAAAGTTTTCTTTTAAAACAAGAAAATGAATTTCAATTTTTATTACAAAAACAAGCATATATAAATAATAGAAATTGGTTTAGGACATATTTACAAAATGATATATCAAATTTTGAGAAACCTTTTTATTTAAAGAAAACTATTTTTAAAGATATTTTAAAATGCAGATATTACTTATATTATAATAATTATCATATGCATATAAATAGTTTAAGGCAAATATTAAAACAGTATGAACCACTGAATATTACATATGTAAATTATGAATTAGAATGTAGTGTTATTGATTGTCTTTTTATTTTAAAAAATTGTGCCAATTGTGATATTTTTAAAGATTCGAAAGTTTTAGAAAACTTCTTAGTCATAAGTACAGAAATCAGTGTATATAATTTTTTTTCGAAATTTCAAGATGGTCATTATGTTTTACTAGAAAATGGAAACGCAAATAATATTGCAGATGAATATGGTAACTAAGATATATAAATAAATATACATAAATATAAATATATATATGTGTATATATGACTGAAAAATAGTATATATATTTGATACCTGTTAAAATATATAAAAATAATTAATTATAAAATAGTTATTTATTTTTATTTTATTTTTTAGAATTAGACGAATATAAAAAAAGTAATGTTTCTTTTATAAGCGTTGAAAAAATGTATGAAACTAGAAAGCCATATAAAGTTTTCAGTGAATTATTAATAAATAAATTAAAAAAAAAAAATGTTTGTTCCCTTATATATATAGACTTAAACTCAATTTTTCCTAATTTTGTACACGTAGTTCAAAAAGAATTAAAAATAAAAAATTATTTTGTTTCCAGTTTAATTATAGCTTTTAACTATTTAATGAAAAACGGAAATATGATTTTGCGTTTAAGTAGCGCACTTACATTTTTTACAGCTGGTTTAATTTATATATTATTTTGCTCTTTTGAAAAAATTGAATTTTTCTTACCTCCTTCATGTGATGACATAAATTTAGATTTTTATATTTATTGTTATAATTTCAATGAAAATTATGTTTATCGTCATTACATCCAATATATATGGGATGCAATAATATGCAATCAATATATGGATGAAAAGATTTTTAATAAAGAAGATAATAGAAAAGTAGAAATGAAAGAAAGAAAGAGAAAATGTGATATTTATTTTTCTACACCCATAAATTTTATTATGAATAAATATTTTGTATTGCTTTTAAAAAAATTTAATTCTTTTTATTTTAAGCATCATATAAATATATGCTTGAGTTTTGCGAAAGAGCCAAAATACTTTTATCATAATAAATCATTAATAAAATGCTTACTAACTCATTTTTTTAAAGCTTATGTTATTCAAAATAAAGGATTTAGTAAGTTATATAAATCCATAAATATTAATTGTGATGAATTTGATGAAAAAAAAGATGAAACTGAAGATGATGAAATAGAAGACAGTGATGAAGATGAAAAAGATGAAAAAAGTGAAGATGAAAAAGAGTTAAATGAAGAGGAAAATATTCTTAAAAATTCATCTAGTGACTCAAATTATTCTATTATATATGATTACAAAAATGTTCCAAGTGAAATATCTATATCAGAAACTGTTTGGGAAAGTTCTTAATTAAAAAAAAAAAAAAAAAAAACTGTTTCTATTATTTTAACTTAAATTTTTTTTTTTTTTTTAAATATTTTCAATAAATTTTAATATATCGTTAATTTTTAAATAATTTATATTCCCTTTTTTTTTAATCATTTTGTTCTTTTTCACATTTAAAATTATTTTTTTTTTTTAATTTTTTGTTATTCTTATTAATTTAATTTTAAAAGAAGATTAAACTCTATATTTAATTTTGCAAAAGAAAAATAAGAAAATTAATATATTGTATTTTAATAAAAATTGAATATAAAAAGTAATTTTAATTTAAGTACGAACTCTTTTATAGGAGTGGTAAAAAAGAAAAGTGAAATTAAAAATGTTATGATTCTCAATTCATATAACTATGTTTATATTTATATAACTTTAGGTTTTTTCAAAAAAAAAAAAAAAAAAAATAAACATCAAAATTTTTTTTTAATTTAAACTTTTTTCCTATTATGTATATATATTACATAAATTTTTTTTTAATTTTTTTAAATTATCTTTTATTTTTCTTTTATATTAAATATAAACTTTTTCTGTTAATTTTCATTTTCAATGAATTTATGTATTTTTTTTTTTTTTTTTTTTTTTTTTTTTGTTTAATTTATATTCTTTTTTTCATGTTGAATTTTAATTTTCATAATTACTTTTTGCACTTTAATAATTATTATATATTTCTACTTTTTGTATTCTATTTCTTTTTTCATAATTTTTTTTTATTCAAATTTATATACATTAATGGCAATAAGTTTATGTAAGATATTACGAAGAAATAATAAAAGAGTTCACTATGAAAAAGGGAAATATATAATTCCTAAATTAGATACTACATTAGACACTAAATTCGATGAATCAGGAGAAGAAAACATATTTGATCCACCATTAAAAGCAAAAGATGACTTGCCTTTATATATGCAACCATCAGAAAATAACAAAAGTTGGTCAGAAGAATGGAGAGACAAAGGATTAAAAAAAGAAGAGAACAAAAAGCATAATTTTCTATCTTCAGATAATTATGCATATAATGTTCCATATAACTATAAGATAGTTATTCCTACCAAAAAAAATGTAAAGGATGATAAAAACATAAAAGAAGAATACAGTCGAGATGTTAGTGATACTTTATCCTACACTGATTTCTGTGGGTTTAGAAATCCTTCATTATCTACATTTGATAATTACAGATACTGGCAAGATAGTGGTTTTAAAAAATTTTTGAATCGTATTTTTCCAATTAAAATTCCAGAACATAAAAAAGTTGATCCTTTATTAAGAGAATATATATATTTTTTGCATTCATTTGATCCCTATAGATTTACATTTAAAAAATTAAGTGGAAGATATTTTTTTCCGGAAAGCACAATCAAGTTAATTTATAAAGAAGAAAGTGTTAAGAGATTTTTAGCTGAAAATCAATTATGTGACGAAAAAACAAAAAGAATTACTAAAAAAGAAGCCATATTGAAAATTAAAGAATTAATATATTCCAAAAAAATAGGATATAAAGAAATTGGTGATTATGAAAATATAAAAAATGAAGATGATGAATTTGTTGGTTATAAAAATACATTTGATCAAATAAATAGACAAGTTATTCAAGTAGAATCTATCTCTTCTTTTCCTTTACCTGATAGAAGAGATCCTGTACCAAAAAGAGTAGATATTGATATGCCAGTTTTTAATTCAGCAAATGTAAAAATTATGAATTGGATAAATCCAAATGATAAAGTTATATTTTAACAAATATGGATATTCATTTTATGAAAAATTTTTAATTTGTTTAATTTATTATTATAATTATTTTTTTTATTTTCTTCAGTATAAATTTGATTATTTTGCTATTTTAAAACTAAAAAAAGCATTATATCTTATTACCCCTTTTACCTATTCATTTTATGAAATTAGATAAATAGACAAGTTGAACAATATTTATTTTATACACATATATACATTTATATATATTTTAAAATATAACTTTACCATTTTGATCTTTATATATTAAAATATTATATATATATATATAATATTTTTTTTTTTTATTTTTTTTTTATTTTATTTTATTTTATTTTATTTTTTTTTTTTTTTGTATACCCTCTTTTTTTATATTTGCACATTTAATAATTATTAGATATATATTGTAATATTATCCCAAAATATTTTTGAAAAAAAACTATAACATTTGTTTTAATTTGTAAAATGTTGAATTTCATTCTATAAAAACATTTTTTATTTTATCTTATTTAAATAAGAAATATGAAAAATATGTCTTTTATACTTAAATTGCATAAGTTACAAAAAGAAAATTTTTTAGGAAATGTTTAACAAACGAATATAATTTTTTTAAAATGTTGCATAATTTCAGAAAATTATTATAATAAAATAAATATAAATTAAATCTAATAATTTAGTAAAAATAAACAAATAAATGTATATTTATTATTTTTTTTAATTTCTAAGATTAATAATTTTATTTTTTCCACTTTTTTTTTTTAATGTTAATCTTTGTTAATCTAAACAAAATTTGCTATTTTATTAAAAAAAAATGAAGTTATTTGTAGTCACTTTTTTTTATTTTATTATTCTTAACACATTATATGCAAAGGATGGTATTTATATTAGTAATAAAAGAGAAGCATTTAGAAATAAATTTAAGAAAAAGAGTAGTTTACATATATTAAATAATGATTCGGAAAAAAATTTTTTGCAAGTTAAATCAGAAAATATATATGATCCATCGATTGTTTATAGAGGTCTAACTAAACAAAATTAATAAAAATTTACTTTTATTGTTCATATTTTTATTTCATAGTATTATATATTTTGAAATGAATAAAAATATACATAAATATATAATATTTTTATATTCTTATAAAATTTTTAATTTACTTTATATATATATATATAGAAAGAAGAAAAAAAAAAATTGAATTTAATGAAGCATAATATGTTAATTGAAACAATATATTAAGACAAATGCATAAATATTAAAATATTGCATTTCATTAATGTATATTTTTATTATTTTTTCTATAGTTTTAATTAATAAATAGAAATATTATTATTGTTTCTATTAATGTTTCAAAAACATTAATAAATATTTTATTTCTAATACAATATTTATAAAAAATGATTCTATTTTATTAATTTCATTTGTTTTTCTTCTTAAAATAGTTTATAATTTCATGTAATAATATTTTTTTGATTTTTAGGTATGGAGAATAATGCACTTGGAATATCTACTATTTATTATTCACGTTTAATGTGGGGAGGTGTAATTTTTTTGGTTATGTTTATTCTAGTTAGTAGTATTGGAGTTTATTTATATGTTGATAATTTAGAATATAATTCTCCAAAAAAAAGGGGTATTAGAAATACAACAAATTATTATGTTACTAATCCTCATTTCCCATAATATTAGTTGAAATTTTGAAAAAAATAAAATATATAAATAAGAAACAAATTTAGAATTCATTAATAAATATTTACTTTTAAATTAAGGAATATAAATATATACTAACACTATACTGTAAATACTTAAGTAAACTAACATAAATATATATAGTTAACTTAATAATATATTTAAATAAGTAATTTTATAAAAAAAATTATAAAAAATTAAAACGAAAAATAAATGAAATTTATTCTTTTATTTTTTTAAACAATAATTTCTAAATTTTAAAACAAAGTAACATTATTAAAGACTACCTTTGACAAAATATTCAAAAAAAAAAAAAAATAAATAAATAAATAAATAAATTAAAAAAAAATTAAAAAATTATGAAATGTTATTATTTTTATTTTGTTAAATGTAATAGTAACATTGAAGATAAGAAATAATAAATTTTAAAAATAAATTTAGGGTTTATTTAATATATATTTATAACAGTGTTTAATAAATAGAATATATATATGTATATAAAAATATTTCCTTGTCAAATAATTTTTTCATTTTAATCTTATTTTTTCCTTTTTTTTTTTTTTTTTGTTCAGGAGGTTTTGTATTATTGTGATTTATATTTTTAATTTCTCTACCTATTTTATAATCCCTAATTATCAATTTTTACTAATGTATATATTTTTTAAATTGTTTTAATTTATTTACATCATCACAATTCAATGAGAAAATTTATCTTTTCATTGTTTTTTTTTTTTTTTTTTTTTTATGATTTTTCCTTATGTATAATAACTTTTCATGATTATTTCTTGGTCTCAATTTATATATATAACTACTTTTCCTTTTAGCACTTTTACTACCAAATACAATTTGTTTTCTTTATATATACATCCTCTTTTTAATTACGTTCTTTCATTATTTTATTTATTGACTCTGTTTTTTTTATTTTTATAAAGGACATACAAACTTTTTGTTACTTAAATAACACATAGTATTATAAATATGTATCAAAAAAAATGTCCTTTTAAAAAGAATATATTAGCTAACATCAAATTTAATGTTTCCATTAGAATTAAAGAAGAATTTAAAGATTTTGTTGTCTTGATGAACTCTCTTACTCAAAAAATTATAAACTTTAATAAAACTTTAAATTCTGTAAGTTTATAAAGAGAACTTTCATTTCTTTATATTTACTTTCAGATTAAGTAGCATTCTTCCTATGTTTGTCATATTTTGTAAAAAGCAAAAAAAGAATTAATTATAATTAGAAAATGGCAAGGAATAAAATTAAATAAATCTTTCTTGTTTCAATCATTGAAAAATGATAAAATTTTCAAATATTAAAATGTTCTTTTTTTTTAAATTAAATATATATGGATGATATATATATCTTGAATATGTCTGTGTGTGTGTGTGTGTGCGTTTTTTTTTTTTTTTCTTTATTTGATATGCTACCTTTTATTAATTCATTCTTTGTTATTTTTTTTTTCTTACATGCTTTACTATTTTAATAAAATTTGTTTTTTCATTTTTTTTAATTATTTTAAATTTTAAATAAGGTTAAGTACTATTTTAATTAAAATAAAAAATTGTCTACAAATTTGTTTTTATCTATATCTTTTACATGTTCTACTTTTATCTTTTTATTGCTTTAAAAATATTATATTAAATATCAATATTCAATTTTTCAACATTTTGATATCTTTATATTATAAATTTTATTGTATGAACTGAACTTTAATCCATTTTTATTTTAATTTTTGAATGTTCTTTTATCTTTGTATAATGTTTTTCATTTTTTCAAATGGTTATATAAATATGCAATGATAATTTAAAAAAATTTTTATTTTTTTTTTTTTTTTTTGTTTGTTACTTTATCTAATTGTTATTCATTTTTACATATTTTTTTTTTTATGATGTGAAAAAAAAAATGGCTATTTTTTCATGTTGCACTGAAGTCCAGTTAGCAAAAGATAACTATCATATTAAAAAATTTAATGAAAAAAAATTGAATAATGATAATAAAATAAAAAAAGAAAAACTTAACAATAATGATATAAAAAAAAAAATTAATAATGAAAAAGAAAGAAAAATAGATGACAAAGTAAAAGATAAAACATCTAACAATTCTAAAAATAATAAATTCAAACAGAAAAAAAGTGAATTTAAAAATAAGAAAAGAAATTTTCCTAAAAATCAAGAAAACATGACTTCTGAATCAGGTAGATAAAATGTTTTTTTCACAAATTAAAAAAAAAAAATAAATAAATATATATATATATATATATATAAATGATATATTTTTTTTTTTTTCTAATAAAAATCTTAATTTTAATTGTGTGAAGCATTTATTTCTTTTCATAGTGTTTTTATATTCTATATATTGTATGATTTATATTCAGTAGTTATTTAAATAATATAACTTTACTTTCACCTAATCAAAAAAATTAAAAATTTTTAATTTTTATATATTTTATTATATTAATTATTTCTATCTTATTCTTAAAATTTTTGTTTGTTTTGTTGCTAAAAATATCCATAAAGATCATTAACCATTTTTTTTTTTTTTTTTTTTTTCTAATAAATCCTTTTTTTTTTTACATAACAGTGTTAGAACTAAAAGATAATCAATGGAATGTTTCTAATTTCAAGAATTCAGGAACTGTTAAGTTAAATGAAGTTGAATTAAACAATGCTGTTAATATATTTAACTCTGAAAATACCACTTTTGTAATAGAAAATGATAAATTTAAATCATTACAGATTCAAAAATGTGTAAAATGTAATATAGTTTTAAATAATTTAATATCTTCAATTGAAATTATTGATTCTAAAAAAATAAAAGTTCAAGCTCTTGGAAAATGTTCCTCTATTACTATAGATAAATGCGTAGGCGTAGATATTTATTTATCAAAGGAAAATACTGAAACAGAATTTACAACAGCATTATCAGCTGAGATGAATATTCATTTAGAAAATGAGGATAATGATTGGAATGAAATTACCATTCCTGAACAATTTCAACATCAATTAGAAAACGGAAAACTTAATACAAGAGTCTCGGATTTATATAAGTATTAAATTTCTATATATTTTTTAATACTAACATATAATAATTATCAATATCATTTAAAATCTTTTGTATTAAAAAAATTTTTATTAGTATTTGTTTTTATTTGTTACTTATATATATAATTTTAATAAATATGCTTTTTTTATTTTATTTTATCTTTCATATCCTTTTTTCTTTTTTTAATAAAAGGATTATAATATTTTTAACTGGTTATATGTATCTTCTTTATTAATGTTGAACACTATTAAACACATAAAGAATTTTATCATTTTTTTAGAATAAACAAAAGAATATTTGTCAAATATAATGCATAATATAAAATATTATTCAAATGCATACATTTATTTGAAAAAAAATGAAAAAAAAAAAAAAAAAAAAGAAAAAAATAATTTGTAGAAATGTTTATTTAAAAACTAAACTTTATATTAAATAGAAAACTTCTAACAATATTTGCAATATTATTATTTCTTATTAATGAAAAAATATAAACAACCAAATAAAAAAAGTTAATAGAAAAATAGGAAAAAAAATACAAAAAATATAAATATATTAACTTCATAATTTTTAAATTTTTCAGTGAAAATAAATTTAAATATTATAAGAAAATAAAGAAAAAGGTATAATATAAAACTTTCATTAGATAAATATGATTAATAAAAATATTTATTTTTAAAATTTGTAGAATTATGTTAACATACATATATATTAAAGATTATATTTATATTAACTTAATGCACTTTAAAAAAAAATTAAATTGGCATGAATATAATTCTTTTTTTATTTTTTTTTTTTAATTCTCAAATAAGAGAAAACAATAAAATAAATTTTTTTTTTATTGTAGGATTATGTATAATAAAATAAATAAAAAATGATATATTTTTTTAACATTTTTGTATATATAAGAAAAAAGAACTTATAAAAATAAATTTTTAAAAATATATTGCAATAGTTTTTTACATCGAAACAATTTATACATTATTTAAAAAATATAATAAAGAAATAAAAAAAAAAAAAAAAAAACTAAATTTATTAATCAGTTGTTTTAATGAATTAATTAAAAATATAAAATATTTTAAATTTACTTCTTTTTTTTCTTTCTTCCAAAAATATAATTATTTTACAAAATGAGAATTTTAAAAAATACGTTAGTGAAATGTAATTTTTTTCACACCATATCAAAAAGAAAAGTAGGTAACATTTCTTATTTAAAAGGAATAAATGAAATATATAATCAACAAATTATAAAAAACATAAATTTAAATACCCTTGTTTTTCAAAGGAATGTAACAAATAGTGTTTTAGAAAAAAGAAAAGATAATGTAGATGAATACATGAGCAATGATGAAATAATTAAATTTTTTGAAGAAAACAAAAATATGAACATAGATAAACTATATAATTTAATAAAAAATTTAAGTAGAAAAAAGATTGATGACAAGAAAAAAATTGTAGAAAATGAAAAATTTTTAAACATTATTGAAGAAATAGAAAGTCGTATCAATATAATGAATACAAGATATTTATGTAATTTTTCCTTAAGGTTAGTAAGTATATCAATAAACAATGATGAAATAAAAAGAGTATTAACAAAAATAAGTGAGCATTTATTAAAAAAAATGAATGTAAATCCAAGAGATTTAGTTGGAATATGTTATGCATTAAGCTTATGTAATAATATGAATGAATATTTTTTTGAGCACGTAAAAAAAGAGACAATTTCAAACATTGATGCTTTTACACCAACATTATTAACTCAATTATTAGAAAGTATGAGATTATCACAAAATCTAGATGTCGAATTAACTAATTTAATAGTAGAGAAGATGTGTGAAGAAATTGATCGTTTTACTACAAAAGATGTAAATTTAGCCTTAAAAACCTTGTCAATGGCAGGTATACCAAGAGGTTTTTTGATTCGTCGTTTATGTAATTTGGTTTTTGATAACGTATCACACTTTCATCATTCATCCTTAATAAATATTATTTATAATTTAACGAAGTTAAAATTTACAACAACAAATCATATAGATGTAATATATAAAAATGTTGAAGAACATTTGGAAAATTGTAACATTACTACCTTATCTGAATTATTGTATACATTTTATATGAATGAAATAAATGAAGAAAGTAAAATAAATAAAATTTTTGAAAATATTAAATATGATCAATTTAATACTACAAAAACAGCTACTATAATTGATTTTATTCATGCTTCTACTTATTATAACAAACATATAGAAAAAGAAAAATTATTAAATTTAATTGATTTATTATTTAAAAGAAATATTCCAAAGTCATTGACTTTAATTGCTAAAATAAGAGAACCAATATATTTTTTATCAGCTGATAATAATTTTAAATTTGATTTAAATAATATTTCTCCGTCATGGTTAAATGCTATGAATGATTTCTTAAGAATTGATCACGAAAAATTACAAGCATTAAAAACTTTTCATGAAGTTCAGAATGTTTTAAATTCAATTGCATCAAATTTTCAGTTAAATTTTGTTCCCCTACAAGTTATTCATTCTTATTCAGTAGACTTTATTGATCACAATAAAAAAATTATAATTGATTTAGATACAATAGTTAGGCATACATCTTTTCAAATTAAGCATAAATATTTTGAAAATTTAGGTTATAAGACAACCAAAATTCAGTTTTGGAAATGGAGAAAATGCAGAACAGAAAATGAACAACAAAATTATTTATGTGATATTATATATTCAGTAACAGATACAAAACAGAACTTACAAGAAATTAATCAGGATCCAAATGAAAAAAAAATTAATATTAATGAGAAAGAAAATTAAATTTGTTAATTTTTTGACTAACAAAATTATATATATACATATATATATATATTTTTTTTTTTTTTTGAGTTCATAAATGTACTAGGTAAAATATGCATATATTTTTTTTTTATTGAATAAAAAAAAAAAAAAAAAAAAAAATTTATATTTTAAATAGCTATTTATGAAAAATATCATTATTTATATGAACATTAATATTTTATTATAGAATAAAATGAACACGTAATATAAAAAATTATTTTAAAAATAGAGATCTAATGATTATTAATTAAAAAAAAAAAAGTGGCGGGAAGCATATGGTTTACATATATATAAGTTTATAATATTTTTTTTTTAATATCTTATTTTAAATATATATGTCTATTTATGAAATAATAATAGTGATAATTTTTATAAGATATGCACAAATATTTTTACTTAATTATATAAAAAAAAAAAAAATATTAAATAGTATAGTGATGCAAATTAATGAAAATAAAAAAAAAAAAAAATAATAAAATAATAAAATGGAAATATTTTAATTATATATATTTATAATTTACAAATTTATCTATTAATTGGTGAATTAATATTATCATTATCTATGTTATTAATAACATTAGAATGATTAATACGATTATAAAATATCTTTCTTAGAAAATTAAAAATAGCATATAGAAAAAAAAAAACAGGATATAAAATTGTATCTATTAAAATAAGAAACGCAACATATATTTGAGTAAATTGATTTCCTTCATTCTCTGCTAAGTGACATCTTAATATCTCTAAAATATATAAAGAAAAATATATAAAAACTTGTGAGAAAAAAAATTGCGTATTAGTAAAAAATGACTTAAATTTGTTTGTTAAATAGGAAAATAAATTATCGCTATCATCATAAACTGATATGAGTGCTAATAAGCCATCTTCGTATATTAAAAGTAAAAATATTAACTTTTTTTGAAAATTATTTTCATATTTTTTTTGATTCATCACGTTTAGAAAAGGAAAATAATTTTCAATAGGAAAAAAGGATACATGAATTATTCTCAAAGACTTATATAATTCAGGTAATTTATCTAATGATACATAATATGGTTTACTCATTTTATTTGTTTCAGAATTTTTTAATGATAAGTATAATTTGGAATTTTTTAAAAAAGCAATAATATTCCCATCACTATTTATCCATTTTTTATCTGTTTTTTTATTTGTATTATTTATAAAATCTTGCAAATCTGATAAATCTGTAAAGTTATAATTTTTTGAATATTTTTTGTAAAATTCATAAAATTTATTTGCACAATTTGTTTTGTTAAAAAAGGAGCTGAAATAATAGTTAGTTAAAGACGATAAAATTGAAAAAATATTACCGTCCTGATTTATATCAAGTAATTTTTTTTTATTTCTCGTATTATTTATTTTTGATGCTACATCATGTAAATTTATAGAATATTTGAATACATTGGTTGGTAAAGCAATTTTTTGAATACATTTAAGTTTCAATGAATAATTCATCCTTTTTTCTGGTAGTTTATTTTTGTAAAAAACTAAATAATTTTCTTTTTTTTCATCATTTTTTTGATATTTATATACATTATTATTCCATTTTGCTTTTTTACGTTTTTCACTACTATTGTGTTGAATATTTTTATTATTAGTTTCGTTTCCTGTGTTTTTTTGAAATTGCGATATTAAGAAATCCGTTTTAAAATTAGTCAAATTAATTATATTATATATATTATAAATGTTGAAATAATATTGTAAAACATTATTATATTTATACATAGATATAGTAATAATTTGCTCTTCCTCATTATTATTATTTACTTCTTTTATTAAAAAAAATTTTAAGTTTTTGTTTTGTTTTTTCTTATTAGTATTATAATTTGGAATTGATATTTCTATGGGCAACTGAGGAATTTTCTTATTCACGTATTTATATTTTTCATAATTTGAAATTAATTTTGATAATTCTACCGATCCATAACACATATATTTATTATCATTTTTATTTCCAAAATATATTCTTTTATTTGTTAATTTTAATAATGATATTTCACTAATATGAGGAAATTCATACAAATAAAATAAATTTTCCTTAAGATAATTATTGAATAAAACTTTTTCATAATCATTTAATTCATTTAAAGAATTTATGAGAAATATTTCTTTTTTTATAATTTTTAAATCATTTTCATACTTCTTATATTTTTTCATTTGTTTCTTTTTTATATTAAAAAGATCTATTTTATTGTATAAACTAGCTTTAAAACGATATAAACTTTTCATTTTTTCTTTTAGTATTTTTTCATAATTTAATATCATAAACTTATAATTTTCTATATTTTTTATACTATAACTCTTTTTATTTTTTAAATAAAATTTATATACTATACTTTCTGCATTCATATCAAGAAACATGCTATATATATTTTTAAATAATTCATTATTAATTTCATAATTTCTATTAGGAAAAAAATAAAACTCGAAGTTGTCTACCATAATTGCAAGTTCTTTTTCATAAAAACTAATTTTATTTTGCATATCTTCTCTTTCTTTATTTTTTCTGTAATATTTATGACTTTCTTTTCCATAATGCTTTGCATTATCTCCATCCAAGATATCTTTTTTAATACACTTTTCATCTTCATAACACTTTCTTTCTTTTTTCTTTTTTACCTTTTTGTAATTAAGAATAAATTTATGAAATTTAATCTGCTTCATTTCAAATATTTTTAAATTATATAAACTTTGTCTATAGAGGTATAATTGTTCTATTTTTAAATCTATAAATTTCATATATATAATATAATTTTCTAAATTTTTTTTCTTTTCGCAATTAAATGATAATAAATCATCTAATTCTTTTAATATAGTAATAATAAATTCAATGAAAATATTAATAAAAGGATGGGTTAATATATAATTGCTATTAGATAATAAATTTTTATTTTCTTCAATAAATCGAATCATGTTTTTTGTTGTAGTAATATATTTTATAGTTTTTAGAATATTTAATTTCTCTTCATAATTCCTTAAATCAGTAAAAATGCAAAAATAAATATACTTAATAATTTCCATTTTGTTTTCTATGGATGATATATTATTCTTATTTACTTTTATGAAATTATGCTTTTTCTTATTCATTGAAAGATAGTCTTTTTTAGAAAAATAATAAAAAAAGTAAAATAAATATTCATCAAAATAATTTATACTTTTTTTCTTTTTTATTAGTTCAATATAATATGAATTGTTTCTTTTTAACATATTTTTGTTTTTAAGACATTTCATTTTATTAAAGAAAAATATACTCATCAATGAGTTTTTATTATCTACTAATTTTATTCTATTAGAAAAAAGGAGATCATTATTTTTTTTTTTTTTTTTCAAAGTGATATAATTATTAATTTTATTAACATAATTTTCTTTTTTTAAGAATTTTTTTTCATTATAGTAGAAACATAATACTTTATTAGTATTATAATAATAAATTTTTACCTTTTTTTCTTTGTTATTGTTATTTATTCTTTTTTTTAGTTCTTCTCTATCTTTTATCATTTTCTTATATATATTTAAAATATATCTAAGGAATGGTTCGAAATTTTTCTTATATCTTACAGCAAATTTATTTTCATTTATAGAAATTATCTTATCTTTAAATAACTCTAATTTATTTGTATTCATTAAAGGAAAATATATTAGTCTATTTACAATTTCTTCATTTACATAGGTTTTGTATTTAATAATAAAATCAAAACTTTTTTTGTTAACTATAAAATTTGATGAAATAGAATTTAAAGTAATTGTAGTTATGTGTTTCCATCCATTTGAATTTATAAAATAATTTATATATTTAACATGATTCTTTTTATTTGATTTCTTATTTTTTTCATATATGTTTAACTTTTCACAAGTGTTTTTCCTAATTATGAAGGAATCATTTAATTCACAAATTTCTTTATTTTTCTTTATTTCTTTACTTTGATTTTCTTTTTTTAAATATTTTAATAAAATGGTAAAATAATCTGTATAAATATATGAATCATTATTATAGTAGTAATTATTATTCTTGTAAATCAATAAATAATATAAAAAGAATATTGAATAAATGTTATTACTTTTAATATACTTAATATGGATAACTTTTTCGTCATATAAATTTATTATTTGGGATTCTAAATAATTAAACAGAAGATTATTTTTATATATATATTTATTTTTTTCACAAAATAATAAATAATTAAATAAGATCACAAAATTATTTATTATTTTCTTCAGAATATTAACTAAAGTGTTATAAAAAACTATTAAGTAAATTACTATATAGCGAATATTAAAAATTATTTTACAAAAAATTTTTTTGTACCAAAATAAATTTAATTCATTTTCATTATTACATAAACACTCATAATAAGAATTTTTTTCATCAAAAAATATATTCTTATTAGAAGATTCCTTTAGATTAAAATTTATATTGTTATCCTTATATATATAATTCTCCATTCTAAACAAATTCTCCTTCTTTTTATTAATAACATTTTTGTTTTGATTTATTATTTTATTAAAAAAATAAATTAATCTAAAATTTTTAATAACATTAAAGGAAATACATGGATGAAATTTTCCTAAATCATTGAACATACATATGATTTTATTATTATTAAAAAAATAATAAAAACTATATTTGATAAACAAAAAATAGTATTGAAACAAATCATTAAATATAAAAAAATATATCTCAAATGATAAATTAATTATGTTAAGTAAGTATTTTAAAATATAATATGGTAAAAATATTAAACTTTTTAGTTTCTTATTTTTAATATTTGTTTCTTCATTATCAAAAACATAATAAATTTTATAAAAAAGCTTTTTTTTTTTATATAAAAATTCATATAATTTAATATTTTTATCATTGTATACAATGTCATAATATGTATGTATTAGCATTTTGCATATTTCGTTTTTTGAAAATTTTTTTTGTATGTATGAATTATGTTCAAAAAAAGAATTAGTGCATTCATTTGATTCACAATTATTAAACATATAACTTGAGAAATTATAGAAATCATTATTTTTATTATGATTACACAAATAGTTTATTATTCTTTTTTTATCACTAATGTTATCTTTTAAAAAAAAGTGTATATCTATATTACTTTTAATATAATTTTTAAATTTCCTTTCATAATAATTATTTTTTTCTTTAAAAATATTCTTTATGTTCTCAGTATTGTCTTTTTCATTGCTTTTTTTTTTATATTTATTTTTATTAATTATATCAAAATTATTCTTTTTTAATACATTTCTCCTTTTATGTTTATTAAAGTAAAATTTGTGATATTTTCTTAATCCTTCTAAATCATTTTTTAATTTTAATATATATTGATGATAATGTGAGCTAATTTTTTTTTTTAATTCAGTTATTTCATTATTGAATATAATATGCCCATCGTTAGTAAACTTTTTTCTATAATCTTGTTTTATTTTATTTTTTATAATAGAATTAGAAATTATATTTTCAACAAATTCATTTAAAGATCTACTATATATATATAATTCACTTTTATATAAATTAGAAGATGAATTACCATTATTTTTTAGTTTATTGTATAATATTAATAGTATCATTGAGTTATTTCTAATATCATATATAGTATCTATTTGAAAATATTCATTATTTAATAAATTTAAACTAGTATTAGATCCTTCTATCATATTGAGTTCTATTTTTGATATAATTTTTTTAACATTATTTATATTTTCCTCTGTTATGTTTTCATCTTCGTATTCATATTTAAATTTTTCAGAATTTGATATAATTTTTGACGATGTATTTTTATCATAATTCTTTAATTTTTTTCCTTCATTACTTTTTTCTGAATTAACTCCTTTATAATCATTATAAGAACAATCTTTTATATTTCTATATTTTGTAAAAATAGGAATAAAATGTTTATTTTTTAAGTTTTTTTCTCGGTTCTTACAATATGCCTCACTCTTTTTTTTTATTCTTTTTAAAACTTTGTATTTAACTAAATTATTAATTACAAGATATTTATTTAAATATATTTTGCGAAATACATTTCCTAATAATAATAAATTCTTTCTTTTTTTGTATAATTTTGTTTCTTCTTTTTTTTTATATGTATTATTGTGTTCTTTTTTGCTTTTATTAAATACTCCTAATACCATACCATTTCCCTTTTTATTGTTATCACTTAAATAAAATGTTATTTTATATATAATTTTAAGTATTTCTTTTAAATTTAAATTATCTTCTGTAGGTAAATTATAATATTTGTCTAATTCTAACGCTTTTTTTTTTATAATATTCCATACAGAATTAGTTTTATAATTCTCTTTATAATATATATCAAAATTATTATTATCTTTAACTTTTTCATTAGATATGTTTAACATATTTTCATTAAAATTTTTATTCTTTAAATTATTATCTTTATTTTTTATGTATGATATTTTATCATTTTTTTTAATTTTTTCATTTTTTATATCATTCGAATAAAAATTTTTGTAAGTTGAGAAACCATCATTATTTTGATATGTATTCTTCTCATTAAAATTAATTATTTCTTCAAAACTTTTTTCATAATTAAAATTTTTTAAATTAAATTTTTCTAAATTTGATAATTTCTTTGAATTATCATTGCTTTCATTTTTATCGGTAAAAAAAAAAAATTCTGAATATTTTCTATACTTTTTAAATATTATTTTACGTAATTTAATAAAGTCAATATCTTTAATTGAAAAATATTCTTCTTTTTCTTTTTTTTTAAATTTACTTGAATACAAAATTTCAGTATTAAATGGAGAATAATTATTTAAAGAATCTTCAATTTTATAATTAAAAAAAAATATAAAAATCAAAAGTGGCAACACTGCATATATTATCAACTTTATGCTATTATATCTTTCTAATGAATGAAACAAAGGCATTATTTGTTTCTACTATTTTAATAAAAAAAAAAAAAAAAAGTAAAAAAATAATAATAATAAAAGAAACATTTAACTTTTTTAATATTAATTAGATTAAATATATAAGAAATATTATTTATAGTTTTTTTTTTTTTTTTTTTGTATTATTTATTTTTTCTTTTTATTTCTTTTATGTTTCTTTTAATTTTCTCCTTTCTTCTACAAAAAAAAAAAATTTAAATAAAATCCTTAAATGATTTTGATAAAAATAAAGGCTGTCTACTCATTTTTAATTGATATTTATTTTTTATTTTTTGAAAGAATTAACTCAAAATAAAATTTCCAGATTGGTTTAACTTTAAAAAAAATTAAAAAAAAAAACAATGAAAAATACAAAAAAAAAAGAGCAAAAAAAAAGATATATTTAAAATTTCACATAATTATAATTATGAAAATAACAAAAATTATTTCTATAGGAATATAATAAAAATAATATAATTGGGGCTTGTTAAGCATAAATGGTAATTAAACTTATAGAACTAATTTAAAATAAAAAAAAAAAATACGATAATTCTTTGAATATTTAAGAAAAAAGTTTTAATGAATTAATTATATTAATTATTATATAATATTTTGATAATAAAAAAAAAAAAAAAAAAAAAAAAAAAAAACGTTTTTAAGGAAATGTTAAAAATATCAAATTTTGAAGTATCTATTTATTTTTTTTTTTTTACTTATTTTAACATGTTCGTGTTTTGAAATTTTATTATTTTTTAGAGAATAATAAAAATAGTTAATATATAAATACATTTATTAATGTAATATGTTGAATTACTTATAAAATATTAACAAGTTATAGAAAAAATTAAAAATAAAAAGTTATTTTTTTCTAAATTATAAACAAATTAAGAGAAAAAAAAAAAAAATTAAAAGTATAATAATTTAATTATCGAAAAACTATAAAACAATACACAATAAAAAAAAAAAAAAAAAAAATTTATATATATTAGTTAAACAAAAAAAAAAAAATTTTTTTTCTATTATTTTTTAATGTCTTCTTAAAAATAAAAACAACATAATAAAATTATCTCTTTCAGATGGTGAAGAAAAGATCAATGGAACAGATGAATTAATAAAATGCAGAACTACACATTCTTCTTGATTAATTTGTTTTTTTTGTGTTTCACTAAGTAAATTAAAATATGATACATCTATGCAAGTTTCATAAGATAAGAAATCTTGTAAAATATCAAATATTTTACCTTTCATTTTTGTTGTAGAAAAAAATCTGATAACATTATCATATATTAAAATTTTACAATCAGATATTCTTCCATTTTTTGAAACTTTTTTAACATTAACTCCTAAACTATATCTAGACATTAATTCCATAGCTTCTTCTGAAAATTCTTTAAAATTTATTCTATGATATGATTTTATTAAACTAAAAAATAAACATAGTTTTAGTTTATCTTTAAATATAATGGGAAAGTAATAAACTTTAGATGACTTTTTATAATTAATAACAATTAAATTCAAATTTTGCATGTTATTGATTTTTATATATTTTGAGTTGATTAAATGATCTTCTACTTTTATTATATTTTCTATATTTATTTTTATAGTTTTATTATTTGATAATTTTATGCTTATAACTTTTTTAAATATTGACATATTTGCTGGTAATAACTTACCATTTTGGGAAATATAATAAATAAAAGTTTCTTTTAATTGATAATAACTTTTTAATAAATCAATAGCAGCATCAAATTCATTTTCTATTTCAGAATTATTAATAATGTGCCTATTATTTTTGTACATTTTTTCTTTTTCTAAATTAATTTCATTCTTATTAGAACTATCTTTTTCGAATTCTTTAATTTTTTCAGTGCCCCAATGAACTTTCAAGTTTGCTTTATTAACAACATCTACTAATTCTTTTTCAATCAAAGGATTTTCTATTACATCTATAACGCTCATTTTATTTTTTCGGCACAATATTTTATAATCAATTAAACTATATTTTCTTATCTTTCCATTATTATTATTTATAATTATCTGAAAAAAAAAAAAAAAAAAAAAATTATAATTTTAAATTATAAAAATTGTACAAAATTAAGGAAAAAAAGAAAAAATACAGTTTACTTCAAATAAAAAAATATGTTAATATTTAAAATCAAATTTTAACTGTATTATAAAAATCAAAATTTTTAAAACAAAAAACTTTCCGTACAAAATATTTATATACAAAGAGAGTTAAAAATAGTAATTAATGTATTAAAATCTTAATTAAAAACATAACAAAAATTATAATATATATATAATTCTGAAGAAAGATATTAATGAATGTATAAAGAAGAAAAAGAAAATTAAAAACATATATTTTTATATGTATGAATATTTGTAAAGTTCTTTGAAGGTATATACTTTATATTTGAATCATATCTTACAACAAAATTGCAAAATATTAAAAATGATATATAGTGATCATATATTTTTTTTTTCATTAAAAAAAAAAAAGAATTATTTTTGTAACATGTTGAAAAAAGTTAAACAAAAAATTTTTTTTATATTTTATATTTTTTAAATCAGTTATTTTAATATATATATATATATATATATTATTGTATATTATTATTATGTTTTTAATTCAATAAAAGATTACCTGATTTTCTATAGCTTCTTTTTTTAATTGATTTATATCATTGCCATTATAATCTTTCAAATTTAAATTTTTTTTATTTAATATATGTGAATCTATTTTTGTATCAAAAAATATTTCATCAACATTTTCAGCTAATATTCCAACTTTTTCGTCAACAATGTCTTCTTTTTTATTTTTTTCAACCAGTATATTTTTTTTATATATTTCATTTAAATCGAAGTATTCAAACTCATTTGGTTTAAAAGATACATTAACTTCAGCATTTTTATTATTTTTTTTTTTATTTTTTATATGATCCTTATCACTGTCGTCATTTATTAAATTACAACTTCCGTTATAATTAAGATCAATCATTAGAAGAAAACTTTAAAATTATTCGAAAAAAGAAAAATAATGAAAAATGAAAAAAAATTAAAATGTTTTTAACAATTTTAAAAAAAAACTGGAATATATAGAGAAACCTTTGAATATATATATATTCATGGAAATTATGTGAGAAAATAATAAATATATCATTTCAAAAAATATTTTTACAAATTAATAGACATATATGTTGCAACAAAATTTATTTTATATATTTTTATAAAAGAAAATCTTAACGTTTAAAAGGTTGGTTTATTTTTTTTTATATACTCATTTTATATAAATGCTTAAATCTATACATGTAGTAGTTATATATTTTTTTGTTTCATTATATGTATTTCTTTTTTAATCAAGATATAATAAAAAGAAAAAAATAAGAAAAAAAAGAATAAGAACAGAAAATTATAAGTTAGGAATAAAAAATGAATATATATTTAATTATGCACACATATAAGCATAACAAAAAAAAAAAAAAAAAAAAAAAAAAAAAATATATAAATATATGTATATAACATACAGTTATAAAAATTATAAATATTACCTCTCTAATAAAACATCATAACTTTTTTAAAATTTTCATAAATTTTAGTTGTATAAATCATAAAGAAATGAAAAGATAAAATGAAAAATACATAAACCGAATTATATTTTTTAATTAGCTCCCATGTTTTAAAAAATAAAGTAAAAATGTAAGAAAACAATAATAACAATAATTATAAATCTCATTTTTTTTTTTTTTTTTTTTTGTATTTTTAACTCAATAAAATATTTTTATATTACTTTTCTATATAGGACAAATTTTGCAAATTTTGTTTCATAAAGTTACAATAATTATCTTTTTTCATTTTTTATTTTTTTAAAATTATTAAAAAAATTTTTGATTAAAAAAATAGATTAAGACAACGTTATTTAGTTTTATATATTTTTATTTTACGAAATAATTCTATAGGATAATGAAAGTTTTCTAAAAAGAATAAAATGAAAATTTATTTAAAAGTTATATAGAAATAATGATATTGTAATATAAATTTGAAAATACAAAAAGACTACTTTAATCAAATGCATTAGTATATTGTTCCTTGTGTTTCAATTTGTTAAATAACTCCGATATTTCTAATAGATATATAATTTGTTTTAGAAAAATAGTGCATTTTATTTACAAGAAATATTTCATATTACTAAATGGAACAAAAAAAAAAAAAAAAATACCATATAAATTGTAAGGAATTTCAAAAAAACCAAAAATTAAAATGATTATTTATATAGAATATAAAAATTTCAAATAAATGAAAATATTTTACATTATCAATAAGTAATTATAAAAATGATAACAATAGGTAACTAATTTGTAAAAATTAATTAATTTCCAATAATGAAACATCCGAAATGTATGTAATTAATATATGCAAAATATATTGAATTCTATTTAAATAGATTCAAAAAAGTAATTTTTGGTTAAATTAATTTATGAAAAGTTTTAATTAGAAGTAGAGGTTCTATTTAACAAACAAAAAAAAATATATTGTTGTATAATTTAGTAAGAAAAAAATAATAAAATTATTCGTTATTTATTTACTTATTTTTTTTTTTAAGCATATATTAAAAAAAAAATACTGTGCATTAAAGTTAAGAATTAAAATATGAAACAAAATTAATATAATTACAATAATTTAAAAAAAGATAATTTTATTATATTAATGTCTATATGCTTTTTATGTGCATTCTCTTTTTTTTTTTTTTTTTTATATATATATTTTCTTATCATTTATTTTAATATCTATTATTAAGAATAATAATATTTACTACAATAAGAATATTAAAAAATATCTTTATCTTTATCTTTATCTTTTTGGAATGATAAACTTTGAAAAACAGAATAATCTTGTAACTCTGGTTTTTTATATTTAAATCTACTTGTTTCATTGAAAATTTTAAAATATTCTAAAACTTTCACATAATTCATAGGTTTATCTGTTTCTTCTTTTTGATTAATAGATGATAAACATTGCAAATATCTTACAGCATCTATTTTACATTTAGAAAATGTATGAGGATATTTTCTTAAACAATTAATGAATTTTCCCCATAAGCTATCACAAGGATTTTTTTCAAAATTTTTTTGGTTTTTTTTTTGAATTTTATGTAAAATTTCTTTTCCTTGCCACCACTCAATTAAAGGAAAATGTTTTTGTAATTTTGCTACTGGAAATAATAACTCATTATTTCTTTTTTTACTGCTATTCATTTATTTATTTTAACAAAAAAAAAAAAAAAAAATAAATAAATAAATAAAAAGATACAATGTAAAATTAAATATATGAAAAATAAAATTTCATTATTATTTAAATTTTTATATAAATAAATATCTATTTTAAAATAGTTGTAAATTTATATAAACTTCTTTTCATATGTCATCTCTAAAATACTTAACATATTTTCATTAAAATGACTTTCTTTTTTTTTAATGTATTTTTTTTATTTGTAATATTTTATTAATATTAATAAAAATCACAAAAAGATAACATAAAATTAAATTTGCGTTTAAGTAAATTTCGTATATATATTTAATAATATAAAAATTTCCAAAATATTATAAATAAAAAAAAAAATATAAAGATCATTATTATTAATGAAAAACTAATAAATACATAAAAATTTCTCTGTTTATTAATTTTAAGAATAATATATTTTTTTTTAATATATTTTATTTATCTGAAATAATTTTTTATAAAATACAGTAAAATAAAAACATTTTTTTTCTTAACAAAGAAAATGAAAAATATGTTTTAGTTATAGCAAATTTTTATAAAATTTTTTGAAATATAATTATCAACAATTTTGGAAAACATAACATTTTCTCATAAATAAAGATCTATATAGCTACACATAGGTTTTTTATATTAAATATTTAAAAAACAAATTTACAAAATTATATACATTTAGTAACCACATTTCATATATATATATATAATTTCCTTAAAGTATTTATTTATTATTTTTCTACTTTTTATTTTTATATCCTGTAAGTACGAAATAACACATTTCTTAAAAATATATTAATGATGATCATAATATATATATATCTTTTTGTCATAAATATTTAACAAAATGAAGTTTTGTTTTTTTAATTGCAAATTGTATGAAAATTTTATATTTTTTAATAAAATTAATTTGTCAATTAATATAATAAAAAATTTTTTTTTAAAATGCTTTAATATAAAATACCAAGTATTTAAATGATATTAATATAAATTGGTAATAATAATAATTTAATGATGTATATATTGTTCATTAAATTATTCAAAATTCTACTGTTTCTTTATAAAATAGAGATATTTTTTATTTATATATTTTAGTTTTTCTTTCATAAAAATATATTTTCTCTTTAATTACCAATCAAACCTTAAATTATTTTATATAATTCATGTTGTTCTATGATAAGAAATTACAAAACATAAGAATAATAAAAGTTTACAAGAATAAAAAAAAAAGTTATATAAATTCATGTAGTTGAATTTTAATCAATTTTATCTTTTATAAAATAAATCAATTATATAATATTTAAATTTAAATATACTTATACTAAATATATATTTTTTTTTTTTTTCAAATATTTGTCAAATGAAGTGAAATGTAAAAATAATTCGTGTGTATAATATCAATTATTTATAGGGGTGAAAAAATAAGTCATAATTTATCGCACACTTTTTCTTATATCTTATAAATTTTTAAAGAATTTTCTTCATTAAAATATAATTAAACTTACATTATTCTCATATTTTTTAAAAAGTAATAAAAAAAAAAAAAAAGATCATTTTCGTCAATACATATACACTTATGGTTTATTAAAATAAAAAATTTTAAAATACAACGTTTATTTTTTTTATTTTTAATTACATGCAACTTTTTTTTTTTTTTTTTTCATTTACATTTTCTTTTAATGTATTTTTTTTTTTTTTTTTTTTTAATATCCTTTTATGTTTTATTTTTATATATTTTTTTTTTTTTATATTTTTTTTTTAATTATATGTTTTTTATATTTTATTTTTATATATTTTATATATATATTTATTTTATTTTATTTTTTTTATATATATTTTAATATTTTCATTTATTTTATATATATATTTATTTATTTATATATATTGTTATTTATTTATATATATTCTTTTTTGAACATTTTTATAAATAATTTTAATTTATTTTTTTTTTTTTGTAAATTTAATTGTTATTCCATACTAAAATAAAAAAATTATATTTTTTTTTTATTTTTCTAAATTAATTGCAATTTTATTATTTGAACAAAGTACAAAGGAACACTAGAATATTTTATACCAAGTATTTTTTTCATAATTTTAAAAAAAATGTAATAAAAATGTTAATTGATACTAATGAATAATAAAGAAAATGAAGCGTTATAAATAAGATGAGGGATTGAAAGGTTTTTGTAATTCCATTTAATAATTTAATTAAAATGAAAAAAAGGAAGTTTAAGGAATGGAATTTTATATGGAAAAGGAATTTTAATTTGAAATGAATTCAAAACTATTTTCAAGTGATTAAGTATATTATAATTGAAGATGAAAAAATATGAAAGATTTTATTAAAAATAAGAATTGCCTTATTCTTTAAAGATTAATATGATTGTATATACTGTTGTGTAATTTATATATATATATATTAATTTATTAAGTATATGGATAAATTTAACATAGTAATGTTACTTGCAGAAAATATACAGAAAATTTTTTTTTAGAAATTTTCATTTCTTCTGTTAGGAAAGTCCCCGAGATAAACAATTAGTATTCTGAAAGTTTTTTTAGGAAAGCTAATAACTTAATAAGTTATTAATCTTTTAAATTCTTTGTAAATTTTTAATTATATACAAAGTTATATTTAAAATGCGAGTTAAATGTAACATGTGTCTTGTGACATCACAAAATGGGGCTTATACATATGTTAAATTTACCTTATACATATATATATATATATATATACAGAAGTAAAAATGTTACTATTTTTTTTTTCCCCTTTTTTTTTTTTTTTTTTTTTTTTTTGTTTTTCCTTTTTTTGGATATTTTATATTAATTAGTATGTAATTATTTAAAACTTTTAAAATTTTATAATTTATAAAATATTTTAAGAAATGAAAGTCATATATAAAAAAAATATAAAACTCATATGAATTTTCTTTATATTTTTTTGTAAAAGGAGATTTTATATAATTATCTATTTAAATTTTCTAGCATTTTATATGCAATTTAGTTATCTATTTACTTAATTTTTACTGAAAATGAAATAATTGTTACATTATTTTCGTAGCGTATTTTTATAAAATAGAAAAATTCTCATCCTTAAGTTTTTATAAATTTTAATTTATATTTTTCTTTTTACTACTTTATTACTTTATATACATTTGAAAATTCACACAAATTATTTCTCTATAAGATTCTAACTGAAAATATTAATGAAATTATTTGTAATTTTACAATATTATATATTTAAACATTATTTATTCAATATGTATTATAACAAAAATGCCTTATATAAAAAAAAAATAAAAACTGTTTTTATTAAGTACTTTTTAAATTATAAGAAATTTTGTATCGTTAAGTTTTAATTTATATTTTTCTAAAAAACGTATAATATTTATATTTCATATTTTTTATATATAATAGTTTAACTTTCTAAATTATTATAAAAGTTTCATATTTTTACCTTCATTCTATCAAAAATTATATATTTTTATATTTTTTATGATCATAGAAAAATTGTTGTAGTCTTTTAAATCATAATAATACATTATTTAATGAATATTTTTTTAACATTTAATGTTTTTTTAAAAGAAAAATATATTAAATAATCACTTAATTGAGAAAAAGTTCTTATAATTAGTTTAAAAAAAAAAAAGCAAGTTAATAAAATTATAAATTCTACAATTTTACAAATTTGAAAATAATAAGGAACACTTTAAAAAGCTAATTATATATTAATAAAATATTATTAAAAAAAAAAAAAAAAAAAGTAAAATTGTAAAATAAATACATAATAAATAACTTAATAATGTTTATTATGCTAAAAAATCTTAAAAAAATTAAAGTATAATTAAAAAATCATTTTAAAAAAAAAAAGTGTTATATATATATATATATTGTAAATACCTAGTGTTTTTTAAATATTTTATATAAATATATTTTTTTATATATATATATCGGCTAAAAATATGCAATATTTATAATAAAAAAATATATAAATGAACAATATCATAATAAAGGTAATATTATATATATTATTTTATTAATAAGCAAATATTTAAGGTTAATATGTATACAAATTAAAAAAAAAAAAAAAAAAAAAAAATTTTCTATTTATCACTTTCTTCTGTATTTTCAATAGATCTTTCATATTTTCTAACATATAATATACTTAAAGGAAGAAACATAATCAAGAAGCAGATTACTAAAAGTAAAGCTACATTAGTAGGATCAATGCTTGTATTTTCTGTGCTTATGACGGAATCATAAAGAAGTTCACAGATCAAAGAAAATGTACCACCACACAAGCTAGCGAATCCAAGTAATTTTCCAAAAACAATAGATGGGAACGAATTTTGAATGAAACAATAAATTTGGCTAGTATACATACTAGTTACACACATATAGAGAAAAACAGAAATTAAACCAGCAGCTTTATGTTTAATTAAAGCAGTAATATGCATAAGTGCCGAAAAGGCATTCATAACTAAAATAATTAAAGCAGCTCCATATTTATTTACGAATCTTCCAAAAATAATACAAGGTATGCAAGAAGCAGGTAACAAAATGTTAATAATATTTATAATAGATCTATCATAGTAAAAATAAGTTTCATTAACCATTCCATAGAAAACAGTAGAAATATTAAATAAAATAAAATAAGAAATAACACACATGCTAGGATAACTTATTAATATTTTAAAAAATAATTTGATACTTTTCATGTGAAAATCTTTACCTTCCATAATACTCTTTGATGAATTCATCGTGCTGCCATTACTCATATAATTAGTTTTATTTTGCATTTTTTCAAAATTTTTTTCCATGTCATAAGTTGATGGGTTATCATTTTCTTCTTTATTTACCTTATTTAGTGATTCAATATATCCTAATTCAATTTCATTAATACTATTATGTCTTAATATATTATCGTCTTTGAGATTATGTGATGTTCTTTCATTCTCTTTTTCTAAATAATAATCTAATCCTTTAAAAGGTCTTAGTGGTAATAAAAATATTGCAACTAACAAGCATGGCACAAGAATAACAAAAATATAACCATAACAAATATAAGAAAATGAAATATTAGGAATATTATTATAAATTAAATTCAAAGTTGCAGGGACGGCAAAACTTAATGAAGCTGCTGCTCCCACAACTGTTAAAATAAAAGTAGACGCATCTGGGTATAAATTGGAAACAGTGAGGATGGGTATAAAAGCTGTATCTGCTCCTAATCCTAAAAATACAAATCCCATAAAAGTTGTATCTACAGTTGTACTTTCAATTGATAAAAGAATCCAACAAATAATATTAAACAGTTGACCTAAAATTGCTGTAAATTTAGGTCCAATATGATCAAATAAAAATCCACAAAAAACAGAAGTTGTAAAATGTATAGCTAAAGTTATTGGATATAAATTATTTATTCTTTTATATTGTGGAGATAATGTTATATCACTATATTGTCCTGTATTTAAATGTTCATATTTGCCAGCTCTTAATAGTAAATTTCGTATAGCACTCCAGTCAAAATATATACATGCAGAAGTGGATGTATATATTATTATTATAATTAACAAGTAAAATCTGTTTATATTTAATGGTGTTTTTTGCTTTGCTCCAGGCAGATTTGGATCTGATTTGAGCCACAGTCCCTTTACTCCCTTGACGAACTTATCGTATAAAGAAGTTTTCATTATATTTTTATGAAAAAATGGGAAACTGTAATTTTTTTTGTTTTTAAATATAAATTATATTTATGTAATTATATATATATTTTTTTAATTAAAAAAAAAAAAAAATTAATTAAATTACAGAAAATGTTACAACTTGTAAAAAAAAATAATTAAATAAAGTAATTTATAAAAAATAAATAAATTCGACAAACAAAAAATGTTGCAACTTATGAGGAAAATTTAATAAATTAAAAAAAAAAAAATAAATAAAATTTTAATTTTTTATAAACCGTGTTGTTCTATTTTTGTTTATTCGAATAAAAAAAAATAATAATAAAATTGAAATAATTACAAGATTAATTACATATATGTATTAATACAGATTTAATTTTTTTCTTGCATTCAATTTAAAAATTATGGGTTTTGTTTTGGTTTCATTTTATGTGTTTGCTTTTTTGTTTTTGTTTTAATTTGTTTTAACTTTTTGTATTACTTTTAATTTTTTTTTTTTTTTTTTTTTTTTCTTAACATATTACATATTTTTTTTTTTTTAAATTTGAAATATTTTATTGTATTTTTTTTTTTTTTAATTTTTAATTAATGTATTTTGTTAAAAATAATTTATATTATGAAGTATGCATATGTAATATACATAAATGATAAATCGAATGGTCTTATAATTTGATATAGTATTTAATTTTTATTAAAATCTATATTTAATTACTTTAGATGAATTATATTTTAATGTAAATATTTTAAATGTTACATGAGGTTTTTTCTTGAATACTTTCAGATAACTCAAGTTTATATCAATACGTAATTGTAAATGTTGCAAAAATTAGTCTTCACTACATTTCAACCTTGATAATACTGAATAGTCTATTATTCAGTGAATTTCACCTTTTTTAATTTTTTTTATTTTTATTGAATATTTTTTATATTAGTATAATATTATTTCGTATAACTATTTTGATTTCATCTTCTATTATTATTACATGTGCAAAAATATATATATATATATATATATATATATATATATGTTCGTATATATAGTTATAAAAAATTAGCTTTACAATTATTATATATATTCTGATATATGCATGTAGATATACTTAAATACTCGCATATATATTCTCTCTTATTTTATAATTACGGAAGTACTGTTACTATATATATATGATGTTATAAATTTCATAAATATTTATATGAAATTTTATATAAAAAAAAATGAACACTACAAAAAATTACCATATATATATATATATGCTATGCTATTTATCATTATAACTACCTAGTAGTTTGAAAGACTCCGTATATATATATTTCATAAATTCTTACATAAGCATAATTCAAAATTTCTTTTTATTTGCATTTATGTATGTCTCGTAGTTAATGAAAAAAAAAATAAACTATTAAAAAATTTTTGCTCCGTACGGAATTAATAAAAATAGGATAAAAGTATATGATAAATATATCCTTTAATTTTATAACAAAAAAAAAAAAAAAAAAAAAAAAAATTTCGGTTTTTTAGGACCAATTTATATAAATACATTAAAAAAAAAGGCATACCTTAATATTAATTCTTTTATTTATATAAAAATAATATAATAAAAAATAGCATGCAACACTATAAAAAAAAATAAAGTATTTCTAATATTTTTTATATTATTATAATTTCTTTTTTATTTCCCTTGTACTTTTTACTATGTTTTAATAATATATGAATTCTATAATTTCATAACTTTTTTAAAATAAATTATCCTAATAAGTAATTATTAACAAACTAATTAATTTAATATATTTTATTAACAAGTAATACTTAATTTTTTTTTAATAATTGCATTTAATAAATTAAAGTTATCAATAAATAATTGTTCTTAATTTATTCATCTTAATAATTCCAACCACTTATTGAGCTATGATCACAAAAAATTTATTTTTTTTGAGTTTTTCTCATATATGTATCCAATATTCCATATATATTTTTTTCACTAAAAAAGCGTATGGTATATAATTATTAATAATATATGTGATATATTTTTATTAATTAATATTTTGATAATTTTATTATAACATGTGTACTATCTAAATATCAATAAAATTATGAACATGTTAATAAAAATATAATATATTTTATTATCCTTAATTGATAAATTAATCCTGCACATTTGGTTTTGAATTATTTATTATATTTTTTTTTTTTTTTTTTTCTATTAAAAACTTCTAATTAAAATTATTAATAGTTTATATTTACTTAATTTTTTTGTTTCTTAAAAAACTTAGGAGTGTTTAAATTTTATCTTTACATCATATGTAAATATATTATATATATAAGAAAATATATTTACATAATTTTTTTTTATTCCTTAAAAATCTCAGGATCATTTAAATTTTATCTTTATATTATATGTAAATATATTATATATATTTGTAAATATAATATTTTAAACTTGAATATTTAAAAATGACTCTCATGTATTCTTTTTATTTCTTCTGTAAATATAAAACAGAAAAGGAAATGTAGAAATTAAAAGGCCAATAACAATATAAGCAAAAGGATTAGGGTCATTATTGCTATAATCAACAATGTAATAATTATAAATAGGTATATTTAATAAAGATAATAAACCACTTATCATACTAGTGGTTCCAGCAATTTTTCCGAAATGGCATTTCGGAAACATAATTTGAATATAACAATACAATTGAGTAGTATAACACCCAGTAACAATTAAATAACAAATCGAACTGAAGTATGCAAAAACTTTTGATTTTAAAACTGCAAATATATACATTAATACACTACTTAATAATAAACAAAATATTATAGGAAGTATATGAAGTTTCTGTATTAAAAAACCGAATAAAGCACATGGAAAGACAGATAAAGGTCCAAATATTTTTAGTAAATTTTGTATATCATTGTAATCTTTAAAAAATAATTTAGCACATTCATTATAATTTACTAAAGATAAATTATATATGGTAAAATAATAACAAATACTTACATATTTGAATGAAAAGAATATCGTTCTTATTTCGTTCCAGAAGTTTCTTAAACTTACGCACATTTTTTTTTTTTCTATTTTATCTTCTATTTTGAGTAAACTTTTTTTTTTGTTAATATCATCCTTAATGATATTATCATTAATTGTACTAATATTCATTTTATCTTTTTTTCTTAAATTTATACTTTGTGAATTGGATATATTTATTTGTTCATTAATATCCTTATTCTCAGATAGTGAGTGTAGCTCTTTTCCTTTTTCCATTTCATGGAATGAATTTTCTTTACTTAAATAATTTGTTTTCTCTCTATATTCTAAGAATTTATCTTCCACATTATTTTTATTAAGGTTTTCATTTTTCAAATTTAATATATCTAAAGTGTTTCTATATTCAATTGTATCTTTTTTTTTCTCGCTATCTTGGAAAGATTTACTGTTGAGTGAATTGTTTGATTTTATGTTTCTTTGGTTATCAGAAATAACGTAACTTTCTAATTCTTGAAGGGTCATATTATTTGTTTCTACATTTTCTTCTATGGGAGCATTTATATGCTTCCATGGAAGAAAGATTAGTAAGGCAAAAAAAAAGGGAACTAAAATAATAATACAATATAAAAAGCAAATTAACTGAAAAGAGTCTCTATCATTAACTTTAGAAAATAAATCTAAAAATATTGGCATAGCAAAACTTAAAGAAGCACAACATCCTAATATAACAGTATAAATAGTATGATGTTTTGGAAAAAGATAAATTAAACTGAGAATAGGGATAAAAGCAGAATCACAAGATAATCCTAAAAATACAGCACCAAAAATTATACTATTATTTCCCTCTCCTTGTAATCCAATTAAAACCCAAGAAAGTATGTTAAAACTATGGCCAATTATTGCTGTAATTTTTGGACCACAATAATCAAAAAAAGTGCCAGATATAGCTGACATAATAAAATTAGAACAAATAATAATTGGATACAAAGCTTGAACTTTTTTGTCTTGTTCATCACAACTATATTTTTGGATACCTTTAATTTTTGCATTATTATCTATGTTATTACAATGATTTATATATACATTTCCGTTATAAAAAAAGTCTGATAAAGATATCCAATTAAAAAATATTCCTACACATGTTATTATATAGAAACAGAATAAAATAAAAATTAAATATTTATTTGTAACTGATAGTTTATTTATATCTACACTTTTTAAAAAATATTTTTTAAAAAAATTCTCCTTTTCTCTTCCATTTTGCGATAATACCATTTTATTTTAACCATCTATATATATATATTTCCTTTATAAATATAATAATTTATAAATTTTCTTTTTTTTAAAGTAATCCTATTATATAATTCCAACTAAATCCTGAATAATACACTTTCGTTAAATTTTTATATTTCACTATTATACATATTAATTTTCCATACGAACTATAAAAATTATCACTTTTAAATTTTAGACAAGTTCAATTCTATTTAAAATATTAAAATAAAAATTAAGCATATTATTCTTTACATATATTCAAAATATTATTTCTTACATTTTTTTTTTTTTAATTCATAAAAAGTCGTTTATTATCCATTAGAATAAATATATATATATATATTTTAAATATATGACTATTTTAAGTTTTATTGATCTAATATAAATGGTCATATGCAAACGTGCAAGATTTTTTTTAAGGGATATACACTATGAATATTTTAACTCAAAAGAAAAAATATACACATGTTATTTAAAAAAAAATATATAACTAAAATTTATGAAAGAAAAAAAAAAAAAAAAAGAATCTAAAAATTTATAGAATATAAAAAAAAAAAAAAATACTTAAAAATTAATTGATGAAAAAGAAAAATTTAATATATAAGATTGACTTACATATTTGAATAATTTTTTTTTTTTTTTTTTTAATTATGAATATAATTTCCCCTTATAATTTGTTTTCTTTTAATATATCTAATAATTTTTTTAATGATTCAGATTGCAAAAAAAAAAACCATGGTATAGATATAAATTTTAGGTGATATAAAACTTGCAATAAATTATTACGAAACACCGTTCTACCATTTTTCAATAAAAATATATTATTATACTTTAACTCATAATTATATTCATTAGATATATTATAATGATATATTCCGTCAATTTCTAACAGTAAAAACGGTCTTTTATTTTTAAAAAGTAAAAAATCAACTATTATTCCATATTTTAAAGAATATTCTGATTTATAAATTATCCCTTTTTTATTAAGATAATTGGAAATTTTATATTGAAAACTAGATATATTAACTTTTTTTTGTGAATTGATATTACTCCTTATTGCCTTTTTTATTACACTATATGGAACATAAAAAGTAATAGGAATATTTAAATTATTTTTTATTTTATTTTTTTTATAATATAAATTTAAACTTAACATTATTTGGTATATTATATTATATTCTTCATCACTCAAGTTAATTTTATTTTTGAATATCTTTTTTAGCATTAAGCAAATTTTCAGAAATATAATCCTTGAACTTTCAAGAAAAAAGTTGCTTAAAACTAAAGACCATATACATTTAATTATTTTGTTATATATTTCCTTCTCTAAATTATTATTAGTATCAATAAAATTATTAAAATTATCATAAAAATCATAATTTTCCTCTAATGTATTATAAGATATGCTCTCATTAAAGCCACTAATGATTCTCCCCTCATTTAAATGATATTCGTCAGTATAAGATATCTCATTATTATTACTGATTCTATATTCATATAACATTATTTTTTTATCATTTTCATTCTTTTTTTCTTTGTTATTTATATCATATTCAATATTCTTAACGACAGCTGCTTTTTGTTGTTCCTCTTTTTTTATTTCTTTAAATAAAATATTTAAATTAAAATTAAAGAATGATTTGTCTATAATATTAAAATGATAGGATATAAAATTAATAGTACATAAATTATTAACATCAATAACTAATGGATTATTTAAAATATCAAGCAAATATAAAAATAATTTTTTATGTATCATATTGTTTTTATAATGTAATAAAAAAATTTGAACAATAGTTTGTACTTTTATATTTTGCTTTCCTTCTTGATTTAATAAACACCAAAATTTTTTGTAAAAAAAGTTGTATTTTTCTATAGATAAAACATTTATACTATTAACTAAAGAAAAATAAAAATTAACTAAACCTTGCATAGAATTAATTTCTTCTTTTCTTAAAAATATAATATCTGATAATTTATATAAAAGTTTAAATAATTCACTTTTTATATTATGCAATTCCAATGCTATATCTTCTTTTTTTTCTTCACTATTGTCTTTAATTTTATCCATATAGCAATTATCATTTTTAAGAACACTAGAAGCATGAAATAAAATATTTACATTACCAATATATTTTACTTTTTTTGATTGATATTTTTTTATAATATAATCATATATAGAATAAAATATCATTATTAATTGTTTCATTTCAACATTTTTATGATTTTCTATAATAAAATTAAATAATTTTTCTAAGATATATAAATTATTGTAATCTAAAATTAACAAATTCCTCTTAACTAAAATAATATTTTGCATATTTTTTAAGTTAAAAAAATAACTATTTTTAACTATATTTTGAACAAAAATATAAATAAATTTTTCATAAAAATATTTAACATTTGCTATACCTATCAAAATGTCAACGTAATTCCTTATATCTGATATATCGATATTTTGATCAACATATTTGTTATTTTTGTTTTCTTCTATATATTTCATATTCATTATAAAATCATTATTTTTATGACATTTCAAAGTATCATTAATGATAACATTTTTTAATATTTCCTGTTTTATTTTTATTTTATCCTCGTTATTTAAATAATTATCTATTTTTTTTTGTGGATAATTATTTATTTTGTATTTGTTTATTATATCTAATGTTAATTTAAATGAGTCATATTTTTTAAAATTTCCTAATTGGTCATTATTGTATGAAATATTTGTATCAGAATTTTTAGATTTACTTAAATTATAGTTTTTATCTGAAGTATTTATGTTTTTGCGAAATTCAAATAAATCAGTGAACTTAATCAATTCTTCATAGTTTATTTTAAACAAGAAACATTCAATTAAAATTTTATACATACTATTATTTATAACTTTCATTCTTGAAAAATCTCTTAATAATGAAGAAATATCTCTTTTACTCCCATAATGAAGCCATAAGTTAAAATTCTTAATTGAATTTTTTTTTAAAACATATTTAGAAAAGTTTTTGTCATTTATACAAAATTCATCTAATAATAATAAATTAAAGTTAAATTTAATTCCATTTTTTATATAAATTTGTTCATTTAATAATAATTTAATAATTAATGATATAAGTTTATCTGCATTTTTTATATTATAATTTACTAATATATTTATTAATCTACACAACTCAAAAGTAGAAAAATCAAAAATATTTCGACTAGATAGAAATTTATTTAATAATATATTATTAATTAATATTTTCATATTATCATTCATATTTTTATTAGAATATTCTAAGAAATTAATAGTTGTCTTGATATCTAGATTGGTAAACTTTAATTTCTCTATAATATATATTTTTACTGAAGAAAATATGTTCATAAATATATTTTTGTTAAAAATACTAAAAAAACAGTTTTGATTTTTTAAATTATTTACACTATTATTATAATTTTGATTACACACCATTTTATTATTATTATTATTATCCATATTCTTATTTTCTCCTTTTCTTTTTTTTTGTTGTTCACTTTTTTCTTCATTTCCTTTTTTCTTATCCTTAAACTTACTTTTGTAATTATATAAATAATTCATAAATTGCTCACCTTTATATAATTTACCATCGTTAATTTGATTTATATCATTTTCATTTATTCGAATGGACAGAAATGAAAAAATGAACTGTTTTAAATTAATAATATTATTATTACATTGTAAATCCTTTTTTTTAATAATTGAATAAGCAATGTAGATAAAAAGATATTTAAAATTTAAAATTATTTTATCGTCCATTAATTTCTTTTTTTCTATAAAATTTATGATTTTACACATTGACCAAAAATATCCAATAAGATATTTTTCTTTTAAAAATAATAGAACATTTAAATTTTTTTTTAAGCGAAGTATTATATCAATAAAATTATATAAAACTATTTTATTATTTTCAATTGATTTTACATCTTTAATTATAGTAATAATATCATTTTCCAACTTTTCTATATTTCTTTTATCTATATTTACACCATTTTTTAAACCTTCATAAAACAAATCACTATTTTTTACATTATTTTCTTTAGAGGATTTTTTTTTCTCTCCTGAACTATTTAAGAGATATGCTTTATTAGCATAAAACTTACAATGAGTTAATTCACTTGGTATTTTGTAAAAAAAAATGTAGTTCACATTTTTAAAAAGGTTGGTTATTCTTAATTTTGTCATAATCGTATACTTCCATTATGCTTTTGAAATAAATATATAACACTAAAACTTTTGATTCTACATAAGTAATTAAGTATAAAATTTAAAAAAGAAAATATAGAATACTAATTTTCACTAGTATTAACAAAATATATGAATCATTATATCTGGAATAAAAAAAAATTTATTTCAAAATTTTATTTTTTCAAATTTTATTTATCAAATAATATAAAAGTTAAATAATTCAAAAATATGAAATTTTAAAATGTGTCATTTTTTAAGTTGTTGAAATAAAAAAAAAAAATTATCAACATAAATTCAAAATATTTACATAGGTATATTTTTTCAAAATGTTTTAATTTCATAAGTATAATTTTTAAATTATATCGAACTAAAGTAATTTATTATTTTATCATTAACTTTTTTTTTTTTTTTTTAAATTATATTTACCTTAAAAATTAGATGCTCAAGTAATTTAAGAAAAAAAAATTATGTTCAAATCATATAAATTAACAAAGAAATATATATTATATGTATTATTTATAATACTTTTTAAACAAATTAGAAATGTTTATATGAATAAAATTAGGTATTGTTTGAAGAATAAAAACTTTTTTTATATAAAAAATAATTTTTTTTTTTTTAAAGAGAAAAAAAAGATATATTTAAAGAAACACGAAATGGATTTTTGTGAGGTAGATTTGGATGAATTTTGTTACAAGCAGTTTGATAAAACAAAAAAATCTTGTTCTTATATTCCATATAATAAAAAGGAATTTATTGAAAAGGTTAATGAATTAATAAAAGAAAAAAAAATTAAAGTTGTTCCAGGTTATGCAGGTTTTTGTAAGCATATATTTATAGAAAATTTTACTGATGCAACAATTGAAACAATAGAAATTAATGATAAAAATAGGGAATTAATAAAAACAGATTATATATCTAGAAGAGATAATGAATTGCCTGTATTGATCAGATGGATATCAAAAAAAGATATAAAAGATATAAGAAAAGCAAAATATTTAGACTTAATTTTATACTCAAGAGAACAAATAGAAAAAGAAAATAAAGAAACAAAAATTGTTCCACATAAAAAGTCAAACTGTTTATATTCCATAATTTGCATAAAACCACAAGATGAAGATTATGAATTACCTATGACCCCAATTACTATGTTAAGAAATACTTTAATAACTGAAGGAGGAAGTGGTATTAGTTTAAATCGTGAAAAATACTTAGAATCAGTTAAATATTGGAGACATCATGTGTCAATAATAGACAATTAATATTTGATTTACAAAAAAATAAAATAAATCAAAAAAAAATTATTTAAAAATATTTCTACAAAATTTTTAGCTTTATTTAAAAATAACTTAATTTTTTTTAATCAAACTAAAACTATATAATATTTTGTTAAAAAAAAAAAAAAAAAAAAAAAAACAATTTTATTACGTAAAATAGAATAATCAAATTATTAAAAAATAGATATATAAATTCTCTAATTATTTAGAGGTTATAATTCAAATAAATTAAATATATGTATTTTTGATCATGAACAAAAACATTAAAAAAAAAAAAAAAATATATATATTTTCAATAAAAATAAACTTAGATAAATATAAATAATATGAATAATAATTCATATTGGTTATTTTTTTAAAAGAAACAGTATATGTTTTTCATGAAAATATAATATATATATATATATGTATAAAATTATTAAGATTAAATCAATAAAATTTTTATTACAATAAAATTTGTAGTTTTTTTTATACATATGTAAGGATATTTTTTTAATGGTTATAATGTTATTTGAATTGTTAATAGACATTAGTATCCCTAAATATTTATAATTTTAATATTTCAATAAGTTTGCATATCCTTTTAATTATTCTCAATATTAACATAATTCAGTGTGTAAAATCAAAGAATTTTTATCTTCCTGGGTATAAAGTTTTTTTTTTTTTTTTATGAAAAAAATAAAATTATTTAAAAGTATCTCTTTTTATTAATTTGTTTCATTTTGTTTTTTTCCTTTTATAAAATCTAAAAGATTTTTTGGTAATTTCCATTTTGGTACGTTTTCTTTTACTCCATCAAATATTTTAAGTTTATAAATAAAAGGGGGGGCTGTCAAAACTTGTACGAATTTTTGTGTTTCTTCTTCAGGAGTGGAAGCAGCTGAAGTTAAAGCTATTTTTTTAACATTTTTAAGAATATCAAAATTAAATTCATCAACCGTATTAACCAACAAAGATGGAACATTTCTTATTTGTGATGAATAAACCAATTTCTTTGCATTTGAAGATGACTGACTTCCCACAACAATAGTTAAATCACATTCTGTGCAAATTTGATTAAGAGCTTGCTGTCTGTTTGTTGTTGCATAGCATATGGAACCACTTGGAATTGTAAGTATTTGAGGATATTTTTCTTTTAATTTTTTTACAATTAATGCACAATCATCCATACTTAATGTTGTCTGTGTAACATAAAAAAGTTTTTCATCTTTTGGGAAATTCAAATTTTCTACATCTTTTACATTTTCAACAATAAATGTACATTCAGGTGCTTCATTGTAAGTGCCTATAACTTCTACATGATTTTTATGACCAATTAATATAATTTTATATCCTTCTTTAGCTTTCACCTGAACATACACATGAACTTTATTAACTAATGGACAAGTTGCATCAATTTCAAACAATTTTTTTTTTTTAGCTAATTCTCTAATTTGAGGACTAATTCCATGTGCTGAATAAATTAAAATGCTCCCATCAGGAACTTCATTTAAATCTTCAATAAATATCGCTCCTTTTTTCTCTAAATCCCTACATACTATATCATTATGAACAATTTTATGTTTCACATAAATTTGAGTATTAAACAATTTTAAGCACTCTTCTACTGTTTCTATAGCTCTACTTACCCCTTTACAAAATCCTCTTGGATTTACTAAATATAATATCTTTTCGTCACTACTTATATTTTCTAGTCCTTTATCCATATTATTATTTTCATTTATGATTGAATTTGTTTCTTGTCCATCAATTTTTTTACACATTACTTTAACATTTGTTTCCTCACTAAACTTACTGTTACTACTTAATTTTCTTTCACTGAAAAAACCAGCATTTTGAAACGTTCTAGAATTATTGAATTTTAGATTATAATATAGAAAAGTGTAATTTAATAGCTTTACATCATTTTTTTTATATGTTTTAAACGTACCTATGTTTCTAACCTTCCAAATAGCCATTGGAATTTTAGAGGGAGTTTCTAATAATTTTAATGGGTTTTTCATTGTATATTTAATTATATTTGCATTTAATAAAATTATTAAACATTTAAAGAAAAAAATATGAAAAAATTTTAAAGAATATTTTGAACAAGGAATATAATGTGGAGAAAATTTCTTAAAGAGATAAAATAGTACATAGTACATTATTATTTATATTTATTTATATTCAATTTTAAATTTAAAATTATATACAAAATTTATTATCAGAAAAATTTGTTTCTATTATTATATGTTAAATTTTTTATATACAAAATTAAATATACACTATATTTAATTTAAAAAAAAAAAAAAAAAAAAAAAATTAAATTAGTAATTAAAAATTTTTAAATAATGTGTACTTTTATTATTTTTTTTCTCTTCTGCAATTTTATGAACCACATATATTTATGAACAAAAAAAAAAAAAAAAAATAATAAAATAATTAAGAATATATATAATATACACAAATAATGAATATTTAATTTCAAATATGATATTTGTATAATCATTAAAATATTTAACAATAAATAATAAAAAAAAAAAAAAAAAAAAAGCAAAAATAAAAATAAAAATATATGAATACTAATAATAATATTATACCAAAGAAAATATAATGAAATAAATAAATAATAAAGAATAGGTAAAATATATCATAATATTAATATTTATTGATGTTATTACTATTATAAAATTATAACGGATAATGAAACAAAAATGGACAAAAAAAAAATAATTACAAAAAAAAAAAAAGAAAAATATATATATATATTTATATATATATATATATATTAAAAATGTAAAGCAGGAGAAATAGGTGCTTGTTTACAACGATAAAATAAAACATACGGTGTATGATCATTTGACAAATCTTCTGAAATATGATTTATTAATTTTGAATTTACTTTAGTTACAGTTGAATCATCCATTTGATACCATTCATTCTTATTTTTTTTTCCATCTTCAGACTTCTTTCCAATAAAATAATAATGACCTGAAGATGCTGATACCCCACCATGTATTATACCTCCATATAATTTATAATCAAAATTATTTACAACTATCTTTGAATTTATTTTCACATGAGTTTTTATCTTTTTTTCATTAGAAGTAAAAGACCAATTATATCTATAAAAAATGCATATATTTGTATAATAATATAACAAAACAATATTAAAATAAATATAATTGTATATAAAATTATAAATTCTATTTCAGAATTATAATAATTATTATTACTCTTTTTTTTTTTTTTTTTTACCTGTTTAATATCAAAATAAGATGACAAGGAGGTGATAATATTTCATTCCATTTTAAGGCATTTCTTTTTTTGTTACATTTAGAGCATTTATATTTGTTATTACCATATATTTTCTCTTTCTGAACAAAAGTATCAAAAAATTTTTGAATTGATAAATCTTCAGTAGTTTTCATAGGAACAGGAAATGATAAATCATGTATAATTTCTTCTTTTTTTGAAATATAAAGACATTTTTGACATTGAACTTTTTGAACTACCACTCCTGAAAAAATTAATCTTAAGAATTCTTTATCTGAACCTCCCAATTTCTCAAATATATACCTAAACACTTCAGTTACATCTTGCTGATTTTTATTATTAAGTTCGTTTGGAAGTATATTTAATACTTGTTCAGTAGATATATACGGCTTGTTTGTAATTGTCATCTTTTTAAAAAAACTTTTTAATTCCTCTAAAAAATGTTCTGATTCATCATTTGATTTCCTTTCGTATTTTTCCTTTTTACTTAATGCTTGGTTTTTGTCCTTTTTTTTGTTTCCACCAATTTTAAATAAAAATAAGTTAACTATAAAAGAAACAGTACTATATAAGGCTTGTAATAGACTATTTAAATAACATGTGTTCCCTAAATTCATTAATCCTACAGGGGGATGTTGCATTTCTCTTTTTTTCATTTTTTTTAATTCTGACTTCTCAATGCGTAACATTAAATATTTCTGTTTTTTTTTCTTTTCTATTCTTCCTTTTTTTTCCTCTTTATGAGTAGACAAATTTTCTTTAAAAAAATCACTAGCAAAATTTATTTCATTGTAATTATCATTTAATATGTGACTCCTTGAATAATTATTTTCTGTGTGAATACTACCATTTTCGTTTGGTAAAGGATGTGCATAAAATAAAGTATTATTTTTTTTATATGTATTTAAATTTTCTAAATTATTACTTATATTATTAATGTTATTTAAATATTCGTTATCCTCTTTTGTACTTTCATTGAATAGATCCTCTTGAGGTATTTGTTGTTTTAATATATAGCTTAATGAGGGATCTAAACTAATTGGAGAATTATTGTTTTGATTAAAAAATTGATCTGGTATATTTCTATTCTTATCATTATGAAAAATATTTACATAATTTTTTAACATATTGTCATTGGTATTGTAAAAATTATGTTTTGATGATTTTAATTTTGTTTTAGACTCATTTTCAAAAATGAAATCATTAACATATTCATTTGGAACCAAATTATTGTCATTTAATTTATTGTTTAATGGCACATTTTTATTATTTAACTTTAATTTCTCTATATTGTTCTCTTCGTTACTTTTAATATTAAAAGTATTTTTTTTTGGAATAAAATAATTATCACTCATGTCGTTATATCCTAAATGTTTTACATGTTTTTTCTCGTTGTTATTATCTATTGTATTTTCGCTTACAGTATTATGCTCGTTTTCATAATTTTCAAATATTTTATCATTAACAATATAATTTTCTGAATTCTTTTTATCAAAACGAAATTGTAAATCTGAATAAGAATTATCATTCAATTTTTCTAAGTTTTCTTGTGAATACTTATTTAATGAAGAATATTTTTTTAATTTCAATTTTTCATTTTTTAAATTTTCTTCAGGAAAAAAAATATTATCATCATATTTATTATTGATATTAATAAAATTATAATTTTTTTCATTATTTATATTATCAAATATATTTCTAATATTATCACTCAAATTTTTATTTGTTTCATCACCTATATTATCAAATTTGTTTTCCCCTTTGTTTTTTGCTCTGATGAAACAATTATTTTTTTTATCAAAATGATTGATATCAAAATCAGTATTTTCCTCTTTAGTAATTTTCATTTTTTTTTCTTCTTTTTTTAAAGAAATATCATCATTAAAATTATTTATATCATTTCTGCTAATATTATTTTCATCAAATGATGGGTTATTAGATATAGAGGATAAATAAACATTATTGCTCAAATTATTTAAATCGTTAGAATTATGTATTTTTTTTATGTTGTTAGAGTTATTATAAAAATAGCAATTACTAATATTTGAAGTATTATTATTATTATGAATACTTTCTAAATCCTTTATAATTTCTTTAATTAAACTCATAATTTCAGAATCAATTTCGTTTTCAATAAATTTCCATAAGAAAAAATATTTTTTGAAAAATGGAATAAAATATACTAGAACTACATATGAATATTTAAAAGTTTTTAGTCCCAATATTTTATGATTTAAAAAATAATGAAATTGCTTTAAACATGATTTTGCATTTAAAAGATTAGAAATTCTACATATTACAATTTTAATACAAATGCCTAAAAAAATTAAATTTTCTATTTCATTATTACCACTCATAAAGTTATTGTATTCCTTATTCTTTTGAAAAGTTTTATTACAAGACGATATATTATTATCTATGTCTTCATTTGGATAGTTGTTATTTTTTAATTCTGCTAATAAAAAAAAAAAAAAAAAAAAAAAAAAAAAAAAGTGAAATAATATATCATTAAAATATTTATTTTTTTCATATTTGCTATACATATATATATGTTCATATTTATTTTTCTACCATTTCTTTTCTCACAATTGTGATCGTCATTAAAGAAATTTCCATTAAAATATATATCAAAATAGTTTTCTTTTCTTATCTCATTATTTACGAAATCATTAAAATTAAAATTATTTATAATATTTTCAATATCGAAAAGGTTTAAATATTCACTTTCATCTTTAATTTTGTCTTTATTTGAAGAGTTAGTCACAAAAAAATCCTCTTTAAATGAAGTTTTTTTATGAATTTCTTTACTTTTTATTTTATCTATTGAATTGTTAGAAAGATCTGGCAAAAATGTTTTTTTTAAATTTAGTTTCATATTTTCTTTTATGTCATTATTTAAGCAAATATATTCATAAAAAGATTTTAAAAAAATAAGCATAAAATCATAGTAGTAATATTTATTTTTTTGAAAAAAAGAAAAATGGTTTATTTTTTTTGTATCCCAAAATAAAATACACATGATATTCCATATCGATATAAATTGATTAAAATTAATTTTATAATTCTCAATAAATTTTTTTGAATATATCATTAATTCTTCAGGTTCTATTAAATATAAGGTATATATAATATCATTTGAACAATTATCTTTATATTTAATTAAAAAATTCAAAAAATAAGTAAAACATATTTTGGATAAATTAGGGTTAAGATCTTTTTCTGCTTTTAACAAAAAAAATAAATTTCTTTTTTTATTCAAATCATCTTTCTTATTATTTATCCAATTATAAATTAATTTAATAAAGGATTTTTTTGGTTTTGAAGATGGTATATTACACCATATGGAAACAACTAAATCTCGAATTTTTGTCGAACTTATCTTATTAATATTTTTTTCTTTTTCATTTTTTAAACATATTTTTAATAATATTTTGCATTCATTATAACCTACATATTTTAAATTTTCCAAATTTTTCCAAACTGTATAAAAATCTTTTTCATCACCAGTAATATCATGAAATTCACAAAAAAAATTATCAGAGGAATCCACGTTTGAATTATAACCTTCAAAAAAATTATCAAAATTCTTATTTCTCATTATTATATCTTTATTTTTATTTTTACAAAAGTCATTAAAAGATACTTGTTTTTTTTGAAAATTATTTCCATTCATATTTTTTAGACTTTCTTTATATATTTCTTTATTTATGTTCTCCTTTGAATCTTTTTTTTTAAAACATTTTTTATAATATTCATTTGAATGTGCTATATTTGAAAATTTATATTTATAAAAAAGGTAAATTTTAAGAAACCATTCTGCGTATCTGAAATCTATTTTATCATTAAATATGTAAATTAAATCATCTGGCTTAAAATTTTTTTCAAATGTTTCATTATCTAAAATAAATAAATAAAAAAGACTAACTAAACAAGCATTATATAACTGAGGGTATATATATAAAATATTTAATATTTCGTTCATTATATATTTTTTTTCTTCACTAGACGAATAAAATAAATTTCTTCTAATTTTATCAATTTTTTCATCATTACTTAGCTCTAATGACAATAATATATTTTTAATATTTTTATAATATTTTGTATCATTATCATTGTCATTATTGATATCATTATTACTATTATTATTTTCATTATCATTATTATTATTGTCAATTTTTTCTTCATTACTATTACTACTTCTATCATTACCATTACTTTCGTAATTATCATTACCATTATTATTACTATCATCAACATTCTCTTTGTCATCACTATTAAAATTGTTATAAAAATTAATAGCTTCACTATTTTTTTTATGAAAGTTGAAAAAATTATCTATTTTATTATTTCCATTGTTATCATTATCTATTTTATTAGAATCATTATAAGAATTTTTTTTTTTTATTTTTATGTTAATATCACTTTTTTCATCATTTTTATCTAAAATATCTCCTTTTATAACAAAATTTGATTTACTGTTTTTTTTTTCTTTTAACTGTTTTAGGTAAAAAAAATTGTTATTTGAAAAAAAATCATCTGAATTATTATTCCATTGAATATCATCATTTGTTAAATGGTTTGTTTTGCTATTATATTGACTTCTATTTTTTTCTTTTATCACATCATTGTTTTTTGTTTTATTAAAGTAAACGTTTCTCATTTTTAAATTATTTTCTATATTATTTTGTTCCCTTTCATTATCTTCATAATTATATTCTCTCAAATTATGAGAAAATGAATTTTCATTATACTCTTCATTATAAGTTTTGAAACTGGTTTCTCCTTCCTTATAGTTATTTTTTCTTTTCTTATACATTTCTTCAGAATTATGACCTTTATATATTTCTTTTGTTTTACCTAAATTTTCATTTTGTAAAGATTCATTTTTTTTTATCTCTATATCTAAATCGGTATCTTCTGTAATTTCTGCTTTTGAAATGTTTTTAAAATTTTGATTTTCTTCTTTCTCTTTTTCTATATTTTCCTTTAAGAAATTATATTCCTTTTTTTTTTTTTTTAAAACTTTATTATCTATTACAGAATTAAAAAAATCATTAACATTTTCACTTTTATTTTCTTCCTTAAAATTTTTGAATTTTTTTATTTCTTCTGTTGATAATTCTTTACTTTCTGGATTTTCTTCCGTTTCTTCATCTTCCTTAATATGATATGTTTTAAAGTAATTATATAAATTTTTATCATCATTTTCTTTACTTTTATTTTCTAAAATAGATGTAATAGGATTGTTATTATTATCACTTAATAAATATTCCTCATTGGAAATCTTATAATTTTTTAATTTATCTTCATCAGGAAAACTTTTTTTTTTTTCATACCTTACGTTCTTTGTCTTTTTAATTAGTTCATTATTTATCTGATTTTTTTTTTTCTCATTATTTTTATGTGTTTTTTTATTACTATTTTCATCATTTGATTTCATATTATTATCACTGCTAATATTATTTTTCTTTATAATAAAGTTTTCTTCACTTACCTCTTTAGTATTTTTTCTTTTTTTTTTGTATTTACTTTTGTTATGAATATTATTATTTGTAAAATCATATTGTTCACATTGTGAAAACTTTGAGTTTTTATTAATAAAATAGGAATCATCAAAATAGTTTAAAAATTGTTGGCTCATTTTTTTTTTTTTTTTTTTTTGTTCTTTATCTTTGACATTTTTAAAAAAATTTTGATTAAAGGTTAAACTAGAATCATTCAAGTCATACTCATTACTCTTTTTTGTTTTGAGCATTTTTTTAGAATTTATAGTTTCATTTTCATAATTATTATCATTGTAAAATATTTTATTACAACTATTTGAAAAGCAAAAAGATTTACTTAATTCTGAATTATATCTTTCCCTATTCTTTGGTATTAGGTTATATAAGTTTAATGTAGAACTAGGAAAGGTATCTAATTTTTTAAAATTATAATTATCTGATTCGCTATTTTCCATACGTTTAATATTATGAGAATATTTATTTTTTTTTGACATTGACTTTATTTGCTTAACCTTACTATAATTTTTATTTTTTTTTTTCTTTTTTAAAAATGAATTACTTTCTCTATATGAACTTCTTTCAACATATTCTTGACTGAATTTAAAAGTGTCATTGCTGATTACACTACACAATTTTTGTGATTCATTTATCTGACTTGAATTATCATAATTAAAATTTTCTATATATTCAATCTTACTGCTTTTTTTATTTGCTTCAAATGTATCTATATCTTCAGTATTTATATCATTAACAAAAAATTTCTTTGAATTGTTATCATGAGAAGAAGATAATAATTTATTAATATTATTTTCTATTAAGACATTTTCATTCTTAGAATTTTTTTCATCTAAATTTTCAATCATACTGGAAAAAAGACTGCAATGATCATCCATTTTATTTTTATTATAAGAAAATAAAGATTGAAGGTTTTTATATTCTTTTATAAAACTTTCATAAACATTATCTTTAATTGATAAATTTTTATTTATATTTATTTCCTTTTTAATTTCTTCCTCTTTATATATAACATTGGAAGAACCTTTTCTTACTGTATTATTAACCATTTTTGAATTTTCATGTGGATCTATGTTTTCTTTATTATAATTTTTATTATTTTCTTTCCCTAATGATAATTCGTTATAATCCTCATATTCATTATTGGAGTAATCATAGGTAAAATAATTAAATGATAATTTATCATTATTTTTTTTAACATCTTTTTTCTTTTTTTTTTTTTTTTTTTTTGAATCAAATTTTGATATATATTTTTCATAATTAGAATATGAGCATAAACTATCTGTACCTCTTAATGATTCGCTTTTAGGTTCACTCATAAATGTATTTTTTTTAAGTGAATTATGCTGAATATTATTCTTATTATCATTCTCATTATGGTTATTACTCTTATGATCATTCTGTTTATCATATCTATTAAATTCATTTGTTTTCCTTTTTCTTTCTTTATTTGATTTTTCTGTATTCTTCAAACATGATGATACTTCATTAGAAAATAAATTATTTTCATTAAAAGAACTTTTTTCTAAGGTAAAAAAATTAAGAGTACTTATTTTAGATTCTAATGAATTACGTTTATCTTTTTTATTTTTTTTTTCTACATTATTTTTTAAATAATTATTTGAAACATCATTTACATTATTATTAATATAATTACTATTAAATAATGAGTTAAATTCTTTTTCTTCACTTATATTCATCGATTTATTTTTTTTTATTTTATTAAATTTGTCTAAATTTCTTACTTTTCTATAAAAATCATTATATTCTTTAAATCTTTTTTTTTCGTCAAATTTTTTATGTTCAGTCAAAATAGCACTTTTTTTTTTCTTTTTATTTTCCTTAATAGGACTTTGTATTTTATTTAAGTTTAATTTATTTATATTTGAATATAAATCTTTATTTTCATTGTTCATCATTATCTCATCATATTCATAATTATAAATATCACTTATATACTTTTTTTCATTATATAAATGCATTCCATTACTTTTTTCTTCTGGATTTTTTTCATGTTCGTTTTGTTTATTATCTAATTCAACCTCTTCATGTTTTTCTCCTTTTTTTTCTCCATTCTCATCATCACTTTCATTCTCATCATCACTTTCATTCTCATCATCACTTTCATTCTCATCATCACTTTCATTCTCATTTTCACTTTCTTTTTCATCTTCACTTTCTTTTTCATCTTCCTTTTGGCTTTCATTTTTCTTTAAATTTTTATTTTCTTCTTTTATTTTTTCTTTTTTTACTCTATCTTCCTCATCACAATAAATTTTATTATCTTCCATATAATTATATGTATTTACTCTTTCATTTTCACTTTTTAAAATATTTAAATCATTAAGCTTATTAACTTTATAGTTTAACATATTTTTAACTTCATGTTTTGAATTATATCTTTTTTCTTTCTCTTTATCTTTTAATAAATCTTTAAAAAATTTTTTATTACGTTTTATATTTGCAAATGTGTAATTATTTCTATATTCTAAATTTTTTAAATTATCTAAATTTATTTTTATGTTGTTTTGGTTATTAATTTTTTTTCGTAATTTTTCCTTTTTTTTTTTTTTTAAATTATATATTAATGCATCACGCTTATTATGAGCGCATAAACTCAAATAATTATTTATTAAATTTAATTTTTTTTCATTTTTAAAATTACTTAATAATATTGCATCAATTATTTTTATATTCTTACTTAAGTTATCATTTTTTGTAATTTTATTATAGTCTAAATATTTTTTGTTTTGCATTTTTTTTTTTTTTTAAATTGTAGTATTCATTGTATTCATCAAATTAAAAAAAAAAAAAGTTTCCACAATATATATCTTTCTCCTCTTTATAATATCAAAAAATTTTAATGGTTGAAATTATGTGGCCATTGTATAAATATATATATGTTTACATTTATATCAAAAATATAAACAAAATTTTTTTTTTTTTTTTTTTTTTTTTCTTTTACTAATTTAAAAACTATAAAATATTTTAAATTTATCTTTTTAACTATATAAATATTCTTTACAAAATTATAATTCTATTTTTCTATATTACAAATTTATTAGGAATAAAAATAGAGTAAATTAATTGATTTTTATGAGAAATTGCACACGTTTTACTAATAAAATTATTCAAAATTAGTAAATTTCATTTTTATAAAACCAAAAAAA